GAGCAGTGTCCTGAGGCTGTGTGGGGCAGCAGGCCCTGACCTCCAAAACCATTCTTTCCTCCTAGGCTTCAGGGCCTATAATGGGAGGGACTGCCTTCGAGATATCTGGAATGTTTTGGAGACCTTTTTCCCGTTGCCTTGGCTATCAGCCTTTGGTTCTCTTTTTAGTTAGGCAAATATCTTAAGTAAATGGTTGTTCCACAGCCTGCTTGAATTCCTCTCACCAAAAACACTGTTTATTTTTGCCACATGACTGGGCTGCAAATTTTCTGAACTTTTGTGCTCTGCTTTCCTTTTAAATATGAATTCCAGCTTTATGACATTTCTTTGCTCCCATATATGGTTGTAGGTTGTTAGAAGCAGCCAGGAGACATCTTAAATGCTTTGCTGATTAGAAATTTCTTCCTTCAGGTACTCTAGGCCATCACTCTCAAGTTTAAGCTTCCACAGAGCCTTAGGGCATGAACAGAATGCAGCCATGCTCTTTGCTGTGGCATAACAAGAGTGAGCTTTGCTCCAGTTCCCAGTAAGTTCATTTCCATCTGAGACTTCCTCAGCCTAGACTTCACTGTCCTTATCACTATCACTGTTTTTGGTCACAGCCATTTAACCGGTCTCTAAGAAGTTCCAAACTTTCCCTCATCTTCTTGTCTTCATCTGAGCCCTCCAAACTCTTCCAACTTCTGCTGGTTACTCAGGTCCAAAGCCACTTCCACATTTTTAGGTATCTTTATAGCAATGCCTCACTTCTTGGTACCAATTTTCTGTATTAGGCCGTTCATGAATTGCTATGTCAATGAAAGAGTCAAAGTCTGTAAAATATTTGAAGAGATTTATTCTGAGTCAAATACGAGTGATCAATGGCCCGAGGCACAGTCTTGAGGTCCTGAGAACATGTGCCTAATGGTCAGGCTGCAGCTTGCATTTTTACAATTTAGGGAGACATAAGACATCAATCAATACATGTAATATATACATTGCTTAGGTCCCAAAAGGTGGGACAATTCAAAGTGGGGGCTTCCAGGGCATAGGTGGATTCAATAATTTTCTAAATTGCAATTGGTTGAAAGTGTTAAGTTATTGTCCGAAGACCTAGACTCAATAGAAGGAATGTCTGGGTTAAGATAAGGGATCGTGGAGACCAAGGTCCCCACTATACATAAGAAGCCTCCAGGTGGCAGGCTTCCGAGAGAATAGATTGTAAATATCTATTAGACTTTTAAAAAATGCCAGAGTCTTAGTGGCCTACAGAGGGAAGGGAATCTTCTGCAGAATGTAGATTTTCCCCGTAAGGGACAGCTTCCCAGGCCTATGTCAAGATATGGTAAAGAAACATAATTGGAGTTAACATATTTTAATTACCTTCTTTATCTATCATGTGATGTTATACCAGAGTTAGGTTGGAAAGTAAGCCACGTTATATAGGGTTAAACAAAACCTCTCAGAGGAGACTTTATGGTTTTTAGGATGTGAATCCTTAAGCCCCTTGGATAGGAATTTGGGCAGGAGAAGAAAAAAGTCAGAGTTTAGTTATAACAAAATACCTGAGACTGGGTAATTTATAAAGAAAAGAGATTTAATTGACTCATGGCTCTGCGGGCTGTACAAGTGAGGACTAAACTCTGATTTTTCATCTTGCCCAAATTCCTACCTAAGGGGCCTAGGGAGTCATGCCCTACAAGCCACAAATTATCATTAGATGGGTTTTATTTGACCCTATATATCATGACTGACTTTTCTATCTGACTCTGGCATAACATTATGAGATAAGGAAAAAATATTCAACCCCAAAATATATTTCCTTGTCATACCTTGAAATTGCCCTGCAAAGTCTCTTGTGGGAAAAATCCATATTCTCTAGAGAATCCCCTTTCCCCTTTGTTTTCCTTCATTCCTTCCCAGATCCAGGAGATAATCAAGTAAGAGCCGGGTACCCTTTTAAGTCCGATAAGAAAAATTTTACAGCCTGCTTTCTCTGAAGTCTGCAGTGAGCTTCCTCTGCACAATAAAACATGGTCTCCACAATCCTTTATCTTAACCTGAACATTCCTTTCTATTGATCTCAGATCTTTAGATAAACTCAACCAATTGTCAACTAGAAAATGTTTAAATTTACCTATAGCCTGGAAGCCCCAGCTTTTGAGTTGTCCCGCCTTTCTGAATGAAACCAATGTATTTCTTAAGTGTATTTAATGAAACCAATGTATTTCTTAAGTGTATTTGATTGCTGTCTCATGCCTCCCTAAAATACATAAAACCAAGCTGTACCCCAACCACGTTGGGCACATATTCTCAGGACCTCCTGAGGGTTGTGTCATGTGCCATAGTCACTCATATTTGGCTCAAAATAAATCTCTTAAATATTTTACAGAGTTTGATTCTTTTGTTGACACAAGCATGGCACCAACAAATGCTTGGCTTCTGGTGAGGGCCTCAGGAACCTTACAATCATGGCGGAAGGCCAAGGAAACAGGCATGGCATATGGCAAAAACAGGAGCAAGGGGTGGGGGGAGGTACCACACACTTTGAAATGACCAGATCTTGTGAGAACTCACCACGATGAGGATGGCACCATGCCATGAGGGATCTGCCCCCATGACCCATACACCTCCCTGTAGGCCCTACCTCCAACACTGGGGATTACATCTCAACATGGGATTTGGAGGGGACATCCAAACTTTATCATTGAGGTTCTATGGGTTTATGGTTTTCATCAAATTTGGAAAATTTTCAGCCATTATTTCTTCAAATATTCCCCTCATCCCAAACGTTGTGGACTCTGTTTACTTGTATGTCAGATCATGTGAAGTTTCCCACAGCTCACTGATTCTCTTTCATGTTTATTCATGTATTTTTTCTCTCTTTCATTTGTATATATTTTCTATTGCTTTATCTTTAAATTTACCAGTCTTTTCCTCAGCAACGTCTAATATGTGGTTAATCCTACTAAATGTTTTTTGAAATGGTATCTAATTCTAGTTTTCATCTCCAGAAATTAGGTTTGGGACTTTTAAATATCTTCTATGCCTCAACTTTTGAATGTATGGAAAAACTTTTAATAATGGTTTGAATGTTCTTGTCTAGTAATTCTAACATTTGGATCAGTTTTAGTTTGGTTTCAAGTCTATCTGGATGACTTGTAGGCATTGCATTTCTCTATTCCTTATTTTTCTTTGTTTTTGACTAAATGGTCTTGTCTCCTTGAATCCCTGGTTATTTTTTAGGTTGCTGGACTTTATATATGAAAAAAAAGTATAGCTGATTTGATACTCTGGATTATCTTACATTTTTCCAGATCAAATTTATGTTAGCTTCTGGTCACTGGTCATGTTTAGGGCACTGGCAGTCCTGGATTACCCTGAACTAGTCAGGTATTAAGACAATTCATAGCTGGGTGTCAGTTCTTATGAGGGTTGTTTTATTGACAGTTATCTTTACTCCTTGGATTTTGTCTTTTTTGGGGTTCCCATTCTAAGCCGAGGGGGTTTAGCAGCATGCCCATCCCTCTCACCTTAGTAGATTGTATTCTAGGCAGACATTTACTAAAATCCATTCATATTTCTTTACAGGAAGAAATATAGAGTTCTCAACATTAAGGCAGTCAGCTGTCTCTCAAAATTACTTTGTAAGGTGACAGAAATCTTTGCCCATCTCCCAATATGATAGTTCTGTTTGTGTCCCTGAAGATGACTCATTTGATTATACCGTTTTTGTGCCCTTAGCCCCTTGAATCTCAGCTCCTCAACTGCCTTGGGGGAATTGTCAGAAGACTCTCTTTATAGTAGATATCTTTATGGGACAAGTGACCCCAGATGCTGGGGTCACTTCCCTCATTTTTTTTCTTCCCTGGAATCTTGTTATCATAATTCTTCATGACTTGGTTGCTTTCTGATGCCTTCAAAATGTGTGTCTCTGTGTGTGTATATGTGTGTGTGTGTGTGTGTGTGTGTGTGTATTTAATTTTGTCCAGTTTTTCTTGTAATTCTCATCAGTAGGGTTGGTACTGATGAGGTGATGTATCCTGCCTTTACTAGAAGTGGAATTCTCCAGTGATACCTCTCATATCAAGCTGCCCGTTGTCTATTTAACATCACCTTATAAGCATCTCAACTTACTATGGACCAAATGGACCATGATCTACCCTAGTCCCATCCCATTTTCCCTTTGTATTTTGTTCTTGAGGCATCATTCACCCAGGATTTTAACCTCAAACCCTATCCCTTTGCTTTTGTTTTTCCCTCCATCCCTCCATATCCATTGGTCACGGAATCTTCAGTCATCATCTTCTCTCCATCTCCATTGTCACTATCTTAGTCCAGGTCTCTACTGGATTTCCCTTGAGTGTTTTCATGCATTCCCATCTGTCTCTCCAGCCCAGTGCACCCCCAACACTCGTCTGCTCCATACTTTTAGGAATGTTTTGTTCCTGGAAAACAAATCTAGTCACTGTATTATTCTGATTGTGCATTTTTTTGCTGGATTTTAATTTCCTAGAGTGCTATCAACACTCCTTGTGTAGTTGCCAAGGTCCCCACACCTGGGCCTCACCTTTCTCCAGCCTCCTCTCACTCCTTTCCTTGTCTCAGCAGTTTCTTACCCCATGCCTTGTTTTCCCTGGGACCTCATTGCTCCCCTCCTTTTGTCAACCCCTCATTCCTCTCCTTATTCTTCAGTTTTCAGCTCAGCTGTTACCTCTTCTGGCATGTAGTGGAGACATATTCTATATTTGGTTAACTAACAAGTTATAAAGAAATGGAAGAACGAGGTAACCGGTATCTTTTTATTAGTGTGCGTCACAGTGAGTAGCAGTGAAATGGTTGAAAGAATAATTTAGTAGTACATAGCAGAGATTTTAACAAATGAATTAACAATGAATATGTAAAATGAATGTATTTGAAAAACTCAATCTTTTAATTTCTTAGGTTTGAGGTTATGTTGTTATACTCTTATTTTTAAATATTGTCTGTAATCTGTGTTTTATTTTTGTTAATTTTCTCAGCTTCTAATCTTACGAGGACACCATCAGCCAATTACTGCTATAGCTTTTGGAAATAAAGTGAACCCACTTCTAATCTGCTCAGCATCGCTGGATTACGTTATAATGTGGAACCTGGATGAATGTAGAGAGAAAGTACTTCAAGGTAAATGAAAATCTAAAACTTGTTTTTAAAAACCTACAAAAGGAATAACTCATCCTTCAGTATACTTGGTACCACCCAAGGGTGTTTCTCTTGGGTAGCACCAATCCCTCGGGGATTTGGGATAATTTTGTATTCCCTTTACCTTGAAACCAGGCATGCAAGCAGGGTGCTTTATATGGGAAGGGCACCAGGCCATTCAGACTCACTGACCTTTGCTGCGTGTTATGCTGATCTTACAGGCTCATTGGTTTTGATCTTATGTCCCTTTTTATTTTAAGAACTGTCAATTTTGTATCAACCTGAAAACATGTAGGAAAGTTGAAATATTCTTTTCTTGCACAGCAAGGTTTCTTGAGCACCTGTAATATTTCAGGCTGGAGACCAGTAGTGAATAGGAAGGGCTTGATCCCAAATCCTGTGGAAGTCACAGCTCAGAGTTTGAGAGAGACCCTGTGTAAGCCAGCGACCGAGTGGTTATGAATTGTGAGTGTGCAGTGGAGAAGGCAGATGAGGCCAGGGCAGCACGCACATACATGGGGGTACTTTGAGATACAGGATCTCAGGGAGGGGCATGTGGGCTGAGGGTGAGAAGGGATGGGATAGGCGACTGTGCTTTTGGCAGATGGACCCAAATGTGCCAAGGCCCTGGGAAGAGTGAGAACCTGCCTCTGTGCTTGGAGCGTGCTGATGTTAGGAGAGTCTCATCTGAGAAAGTTGAAAAGTTAGGTAGGGACCACATTAAGGAATTTGAGTTTTACGGAATTATATAGAGAAGTTAGAGGATTACGTTAAAACATAAATGCAAAGAGACTATAAACCTATGTATTCTATGTAGGGACATGAGCACGTATCTCTTTCTAGACTGGGTGGCTGTGTGACATGAACATATGTGTCTCTCTAGGCTCTGGGTGGCTGTGGGACATGAGCACATGTTTCTCTGTAGACTTGGTGGCTGTGGGACATGTGCACATGTGTCTCTGCCAGGCTCTGGGTGGAGTATATCTGCATTTTGCTGGTGATAGGTCCGTGGTGCACACTAGGACCAGATGACCTTGCCCGCCATTTTTTCCTTCACCTTTGTGGATTTGCATGACGGACTGTGCATCAGGCTGCAGCTGCTGCACTTGTTGTCCGGGTCGTGGGAACCTCCTGGCTGCTTGTGGGTGTCCTGCCATTGCTTAGTCCCTGGAGGCCTCGGTTGGATAGGCTTCTACTCCCTTCCTTCCAACTGATGTTAGCTGAACCTGGACATGAGGGTGGACGTGGGGTTGGATGTGGGTGAGAAGCATCGAAACACGCAGTTTGATGTGTGTGACCCTCACTGCGCAGGTACCGCAGCCTCCAGGGGAAGGCGTCTCTTCCTGTTTTGATGTTGAGGGATTCTCTGCAGGGAAGTGCTGCATTCCCCAGGTTTTCAGAAGACTTCTCTATATCCAGTATTTTTTATGTTCTTAGAGAATCAAAATCACATCAAAGGCTCATTGGCATTCTCTCAGTAATTTTAGAATAGAGGGTTACATTCTCAGTATTTTTCTCGGATTAATGTAATGCTGAATGCATTTGGTGAACTGGCACTAACGGTGAAACTCACTCTAGGGCTGGTCCCTCGAGGGACTGTCGTGGGCTCGCTTTTGGGAAAGGTGCTGTGTTTACAGTTGAGCCCGGATGATCATGTTGTTGCCGTATGTGCTGGAAACAAAGTATTCATACTGGATATTGAGGTAAGATTGAAATTCACACGTGAATTTCATTTCACGAAGGGTTTAGCTGATGGGTCCTCCCAGGTTCTAGGACCTTGCCCAGCTGTCTTTTCTTTTTTTCTGTACTCCTTTTTTTTTAAAACCTATATCTTAAATTTAGTTTACTTTTATAAAATCATATCTTTATGTTGCAATTGGAAAACCACTGGTGTCAGATAGTAATATTTATATAAATATTAAAACTCCCTATGGAATATGGGTATCAGGCATGACTTTAGAGAAACATATTCTACAAAACTTTTATTTCTCAGATATTCCCTGATTGTAGGCATCCTTCCTAGCATAGCGCTTTTGTTTATATCTTTTATCAAAATGTTCTTTTCATCAAGAATCAGACTTTCGCAGCCATTTCATCACCAGGGTTAGTTTAAGGAAACGTGTCACCTCTTCCTGCCTGTGTGATTTCAACCTCGGGTGTGACTGGAACAGTCAGCTGCCCCATTGCAATGTTGAAAGCGGTGTTAGCAATCAGGAAGTGGGAATCTTTTTTTTTTTTTTTTTTTTTTTTTTTTTTTTTTGAGACGGAGTCTCACGCTGTTGCCCAGGCTGGAGTGCAGTGGCGCGATCTCGGCTCACTGCAAGCTCCGCCTCCCGGGTTCCCGCCATTCTCCTGCCTCAGCCTCCTGAGTAGCTGGGACTACAGGCGCCCGCCACCGCGCCCGGCTAATTTTTTTGTATTTTTAGTAGAGACGGGGTTTCACCGTGGTCTCGATCTCCTGACCTTGTGATCCGCCCGCCTCGGCCTCCCAAAGTGCTGGGATTACAGGCTTGAGCCACCGCGCCCGGCTAGGAAGTGGGAATCTAAGGGAACACGAAGGAAGACTCGGTTCCTCTGAATTGTTGCTCTGCCCAAGCCTGATTTTGGAGATGACCGCAGGCCTGGGGTCGTTTTTCTGGCTTTGATTTGCCAAGTCAACATGGCCAACAAAGCTGTTTGCCTGCGTAGCTTTTCCTGTGATAGCCACTTAATAAACGTAGGCGAGGGAGGATGATAACCATGGAATAGTAATTGGTTCTTATGGGCCTCATGTGTAATAGGCATTTTGGGAGAGAAGACATTTATGTCTTCGGACTATTTTTGGACTAATTATGAAATTAAGGCTCATAAATTTAAAAAGTTTACATCATGAGTTAAGCCACAGAGAGATAGATGATGGGAAGTATCTAGGAGTTAGGTAAAGGGCTTTACCTAGTCTGTCTGTGAAAGCTTTCTGGATATGTTGGTTTTTCAGTTGTAAGTATGTCTTTTTTTTTTTTTTGAGACGGAGTCTCGCTCTGTCGCCCAGGCTGGAGTGCAGTGGCCGGATCTCGGCTCACTGCAAGCTCCGCCTCCTGGGTTCACGCCATTCTCCTGCCTCAGCCTCCCGAGTAGCTGGGACTACAGGTGCCCGCCACCTCGCCTGGCGAGTTTTTTGTATTTTTTTAGTAGAGATGGGGTTTCACCGTGTTAGCCAGGATGGTCTCGATCTCCTGACCTCGTGATCCACCCGTCTCGGCCTCCCAAAGTGCTGGGATTACAGGCTTGAGCCACCGCGCCCGGCCAAGTTGTAAGTATTTCATGTTTTGTTGTAAACATCCTGTGATAGATAGATTAACATTAGGCCACCCCACCATTTATGACAAAACTACCATTAACGTGCAAAGATTTAACATTGTTATGTCAGGAAAAGGAAAACCAAAGTGGATTAGGAAGAAGCGTAAAACTGTTAGTGTTTGAAGGAAGATACTGGGTCCTAGATGGAGAGAACAGTGAGCCTGGGGTCAGGTTGGAGCCACACCCCTGAATCGGGCACATAGCAGGTGAGTAAGCAGGTGCCTGCTACAGATGCGTGTGCAGCCCATGGGATGCTCCCCAGGCTTCCTTAGCAGCAGGCGTGTCAATTGAAAGACGCTTCACTTGGGGAGAATGACTTTCAGACGTGGGGAATGGCTGTCACGTGAGTCCATGAAGAGCTCACATTCTTTTAACAGCATACTCAGCAAGTCAACAGTTTATGCTATTTGATTTGAAAGACTTCAAATGAGTACTGAGCACTTTCTGGTAAAAGGCACTTTTTAATCAACATAAAATGTCAAGAAGAAATAACTTAAATATTTTTCAGGCTATAATGTTATTCATATCATAGACAGTGGACTAGCTTTATTTTATAGAAATTGGAGAAAATGGAAATGTATATTTCATAACAGTCTCATAACTCCCTATTCCTACACAGGTTATAGTCTTGCCTTTTATTTTTAACAATCTGATGGTAACTGGCATAATATACTCAGTATTCTAAGTTGTATTTGCTGATGACCATATGTTATATTACTAAAGAAGGTCTTCCAGAGTTAAATGTCTATTTGTAAGTTAAGTCACCATATATACATGTTTATTTTTTCTGCATGTATGCTAAGGGATATTTGTCTTATTTAAATGGAGTGCTGTAAAATTCAAGAACAGTACCCCAGCACTTCGTGCCTGGAATCCCCTGGGGATATTCTCAGGGCGATGACTGTGACCTTTAGGAATCCCCGAGGCTCTGACTACTCCATTCCTCAGTCATGCTGTTCAAGCCTGATTTCCATATAAACACGAAGCCCTGTGCGTCTCCAGCTTGAGACGCTGACTTCTGGGGTGCTCTCTTGGCTGTGGGAGGTTTTAGGGACTTCAGGAGGAAAGGATAACTCATGAGCACCTACTGCTGTGCCATCTTGTCTTGTTGTAGGAAGTCCCGGGTGGAGAACAGATGCTGAGGGATTGGGAACACAGAGCAGTGGGTTCTGAGTTACAGGCAGGGAGCCTCAGGGCGGATGCATGGGGCAGCCAGTGGGGAGACAGGATTCCTGAGGGGACGCCAGCTTCCTAATTCGCTCAGGGTCAGCTCTGGTTAGTGTCATCTTTTAACACTGCTGAGACTGTGCCTGTGGCCTGAGCTTTCCTCTTAGCTCAGACATCTGACTTTTCACCCTTGGTTTATATACAGAGTTCCAACTTGAAAAGAGGAATAATACGGGCTTTATTTTGTAACAGCTATTTTCTGTGACATACATAGAACATCCTGATGTTAATAACCACCACAAAGTTCCATCACTGACCTTCCTGCACACATTTCTCTCAGACGCAGGCTGTCCAGGCCGAGCTGCAGGGCCACCTGGGCCCAGTGACTGCGGTGGAGTTCTGTCCCTGGCAAGCAGGCACCCTCCTCTCGGTGTCCGAGGACAGAGGCTTTAAGGTGAGGGATAGACGATGGACTGCGTGCCCACGTGGCATGCGCTATGGAAAGACCTGTGGTGAGAGCGGAGCTGTGCAGTGGCTTCGCGGCCACTGCCGCCTGAGTCATGTTTCTACCCCACTTCCGCAAGGCTACCGCTGTCCTGATATCCATGGAAACACCAAGCCGGACGTTTTGCCAGGGTCGCTGACTGGGCTTGGATTCCTGACAGGACGGCTCTGCGGCCCTGGATTTCCCACAACTGCATCCAGGGCCTGGGAGAGCCCAAGCACAAATTCTTCTCCACGGCATTTCCCAGGCCCAGAGCAGGAGAGCCAGTTCCAGGGTGGAGGGCTCAGTAGGCATGAAATGAGGATCTGGAAGAAAATGAAATGCGAATTCAGTTTTTATCCAGCTGACACCAGTGTGCACCTGATAGTGTAGCCCTGACCCGCGAGTGTGCACCTGACAGGGTGTAGACCTGACCCGCGAGTGTGCACCTGACAGGGTGTAGACCTGACCCGCGAGTGTGCACCTGACAGGGTGTAGACCTGACCCGCGAGTGTGCACCTGACAGGGTGTAGACCTGACCCACGAGTGTGCACCTGACAGGGTGTAGACCTCACCCGCGAGTGTGCACCTGACAGGGTGTAGACCTCACCCGCGAGTGTGCACCTGACAGGGTGTAGACCTGACCCGCGAGTGTGCACCTGACAGGGTGTAGACCTCACCCGCGAGTGTGCACCTGACAGGGTGTAGACCGGTACAGTTTCCCGCTTGGTTCTCCTATTTTGGCAGCGTTGACTAATACCTGGGAACTGTTTTTAACCTTGTTTCGTGTTTGTTTCCAATTCTTCAAATCCACCAGGGGTTTATTTATGGAAGTGACGTTAATTTTTTCTTTTTGATTCTGACATCTTTTATTGTGTTTCTACATTGTTATTATTTTTGTGCTCATTTTATTGTTTTCTGTTTTAGATAATCATTTATGTTGACTAATCTGATACTGGATAGTACTGTTAGCTTAACCTGTTGCAAAAATGGCAACATTGTTACCTCTTCTAAAGAACCCTCTGTTTGCCCAAAGGTCTGGGACCATTGTACGGGATCATTAATATACAGTTCATCTGTGTTATCAGGTAAATTTAAAACTCTCATGTTTCCTGTAAATAGGCTGTGTGTAACCCACTGTTTCTAGAGCACGTCTTAGGGCATAAGATGGAGCCATGACATTCAAGTGGATCTGAATGAGGCAATCTCAGACTTACAGCCCTTCACTCTCGTCCACACAGGGAGAGGATTCACTTAACAGTGAATGTCCTTGACGTTTTTCACTTAAAATTAAATGTATGCGTGGAGTCTGGGCCTTTTTGTTTTGGAAGAGTGAAGCACGTTTGCTGTCAGATAAAATGCCTGAGCCCCCATGGAAGGCGAGCCCTCTGCTCTCTGTAGAAACAAGTCCCAGAACCAGCGGTGTTGGTAGGGCCAGGACTGCCCCGCCCATCCAGCATGTGCGTGGGCGTGCACCACACCCCGGCCTCCTGGTCAGGTACTGAGCACGTGTGCAGCTCGTGAATGCCGGGGTCCTTGCGTTCTTCCCTCAGATGGCTTTTTGTTGGCAAATGAAGCTGGCACACGGCCACACAGACGCAGCATTGATGGTGCAGGTGTCCGTGGAGCATGGCACAAGGAGCGGCCTGTGACGCCCCCGCACCTCTCCCGTGCAGCCCCTGTGCTGGTCCTCCTGGCGCCTCAGGGCACTGGTTTCCTGCATTCGCTTTGCTCCTCTTTTGCATGTTCTGTCTTTCCGGAAGAAGAGAGTTAGGGAATTAAAAGGAGAGCATTCTTCCGTGGGATAAGTGACATGAAAATGCCACTTAAAGCATATACGTATACTTCGGTGACCTGGTAGAGTTATCTTTATATCTTCTCAAAGATTTAACATTCTTTCTGAGGTTAGTGTATCCACGTGCAGACTGTGGTGCTGTAATGACTTGAAAACATTGCTTTCTTTCAGGGTGAAGTGCATTTCTTGGAAGTACGTTGGAATCTTTTTTCTGAAATTAATTATACAGAATTACTATTTGGTTGCCAAGAACAGTGATACACTTGATCTTTGATTTCGTTCATAGTTTGATTAGGATGTGTAGCATTTTTCAATATTCATTTATCTAATTCTCCTAAAGTATTGACAGTTTAGAGTAAATTTTCGATGAAACGACATCCTAGGCAACAATTTTTTTTTTTCCAAGAAAACAAGGCATCCATTTGATTGCTATTTTCATCACTAAGTCTGTAATTTTATTATTTCCAGCTAACTCAGGAATCGTTCTGCCCCAGGTGCAATGTTGATTGAACACCAGTGCTGCCCTCCCTCTAGGCTATAAAGCAGCCAGAGCTGGGCCGTGGTTTAAGCCCACCAGGCCTTCTGTCGGGCAGGCGGGATGGGATTCCTTGGGACCCATCTGAGGCGGACTCCCCAGGCGTCCTTTTGGGGTGACATCCCCAGCCTTCCTTGTGCTCATGGGGTTTTCAACATTTGTATTCACGTGCAATTTTTGCTTTTTGATGAAGAAATTATTTTGGAATAGTTCAAACTTGACTAACAGAAATACTGTAAGTAAATATTATGTGTAAAGAGATAAGTAAAACTGATCGTTCTCGGCTTACCTGGTACCAGGCACTTATAAAGCTAAATTTTCCAATGTTGCTTTCACCAGCATATCCTCTTCTCAGCTTGTTCATTGATGCAGAAAGCAGGCAGCTGGTCACTGGGTGTGCTGACGGCCAGGTGAGACAGCCAGAGTGAAGTTCCAGTTCCCACACATTCCTGTACGTGAGCATGTACACAGGGCTCTTTGTCTTCATGCTGCTTTGTATTTTCCTGTGATTTGAAAAAAACCTGTCCACCTCAGTGCTGAGAGTGTGACCTGTGGGTCTCAGCATCACTGCGGGTTCAGTATGGCCCTGGGCCCCCTGGTCTGTGGAGGAGCTGGCTCTGCACGTCCCAGAGCTCCATACATGGTTCTGGAGTGCCGCTAAAGTGAGGGCCACTCACGGGACCTTTAAAACCTGATGAGAAGAGGGCTGTGAGCAGACATCCCACGCACGCTGCCTGCGCCCTGGAGAGGCTCCCTGGATGGCTCCTCTGGTGGCATCCCCAGTGCCCCTTGTGCGCCTGTTTCCTGTCAGCTTTACACACTGTTGAAAAACCTGAAGATATTGGTCTTTTTCAAAACATTTTTTTAGGTGAGCATTTTAAGTTCATTTCATATGAAGACTTAAATTTTTTTTTTTTCCTTTTGACAAAGTTAACCACTGTTGCCCTTGTCTTCTCACCCAGGGCATGTGGGTCGTGCTCTTGGCTGTGAAGCTGTGGGGTATGTGCAGAGAGCCTGGCGCCCGGGGGTCCCGGAGGAGCTGTAGGGTGTGTGCAGAGAGCCTGGCGCCCGGGGTCCCGGAGGAGCTGTAGGGTGTGTGCAGAGAGCCTGGCGCCCGGGGGTCCCGGAGGAGCTGTAGGGTGTGTGCAGAGAGCCTGGCGCCCGGGGGTCCCGGAGGAGCTGTAGGGTGTGTGCAGAGAGCCTGGCGCCCGGGGGTCCCGGAGGAGCTGTAGGGTGTGTGCAGAGAGCCTGGCGCCGGGGTCCGGGGGCGGGGTGGTGCAGAGAGCCTGGCGCCCGGGGGTCCCGGAGGAGCTGTAGGGTGTGTGCAGAGAGCCTGGCGCCCGGGGGTCCCGGAGGAGCTGTAGGGTGTGTGCAGAGAGCCTGGCGCCCGGGGGTCCCGGAGGAGCTGTAGGGTGTGTGCAGAGAGCCTGGCGCCCGGGGGTCCCGGAGGAGCTGTAGGGTGTGTGCAGAGAGCCTGGCGCCCAGGGGTCCTGGAGGAGCATCTTGGGGAGGCCTGCACAATAGGATCCTGCCTGTGTACTCTGAGCTGATGTGCCAGCCGTGCGAAAGTGCTCTGACACCGTGGGCGTGGGCTGTAAGGAGGGCCTCCAGGGTGGATGTTGAAGGCAGGAGAGAGCTGTGCTGGGAGCCTCTGCAGGCTGTGGAGGGAATTTCCTGTGACGTGTCTGTCCTCTCTGCTCCTCCTCTGGTGTGGCTGCTTCTGCGTAAGGACCTTTGCTGCAGCGCCGTGTCTGCATGTTCTTTGCTTTTGTAGCTTTGGATCTTCAGTTTGATGGATGGACACCACTATCGTCGTGTGGCACGGGTTGACCTAAGGAAGAAGACAGAGACTTTCTCCACAAGAAGGCTTAAGTCTGGGCTGTGCAGTCAGCCAGGTGGGTTGCTCAGACCTTCCCTCAGGCCTCCCACTTGGCCCAGTCTTTTCACCAGGCGCTGTGTCGAGGGCCCTAGGTCACACAGAGGGGAGAGAGAGGTGCCAGTGTAGGAGAAGCCGATGGCCGCAACTTCAGAAAACCACCGAGGCCCTGCAGGTCATGTGAGGGGTGGGCCATCAGCAGACGGAGGCACCTGGTGTGTGTGGGGACAAGGGTGAGGGGCTTTGGTGAACAGAAGAGCAGAGGCCCCATGGCAGCAGCTGCGCGGCTGTGGGTTGCTTTCCTGCAGTGGGCGACCAAGGAGGGAAGGTCATGCTGATCAGAAAAGTACACTGCATGACCCAGATGCCACCTGCACCTGCCCAGCACCCTCCACGTCCCCACCTGGCCTGTGAATCTCAGATGCCACCTGCACCCACCCCGCACCCTCGTCCTCACCTCATCTCCTGCTGTCCAGAGTTGCTTCCTGTTGACCACAGCTCACTTCTGTGTGCTTTTTATCTCCTGTACTGTCACAAAGGAGCTGACCCTCTCCTGGAAGAAAACGTTGATTTTCCTTTTCAGTCCAGGGGCCACCTCTTTCATTGGTGTGTGCAGCCGACATTTCGTATTGCAGTAGTCATCCCTGTGCTCACAGCCTACACACTCTTCCTCACTCTGGTTACTCATTCTTTCTTTTAGGTTGTGTTTTTTTGTAGATGACTTTAAGCTATTTTTTTCATATTAGGTCTGAAATTACCTTTATCCAGTACATCAATTTTTTCCTAACGTTTTAAACCTTCATTTTTGTTATTTATTTGATAAATAATTATCTACTACTGAAGCAAATCTTAAGCTTAGTTTTAGCAAATATGAAGTTAAATTCTTTCAGTTAATCATCTCCTCTTTCCCACTCCCTTACTCTGGTTCTGTACTTGAAGTCGCATCGCTCCCAGGCAGCATGCTGCTGGGTGTTACCCTCGTGCTTTCCTCGACATGTGATCCCCACACGTCGTGCTGGGTGTTACCCTAGTGCTTTCCTTGACACGTGATCCGAGTGACTCCACGGTGCACACGCGTCATGCTGGGTGTTACCCTAGTGCTTTCCTCGACACGTGATCCGAGTGACTCCGCGGTGTACACACCTCGTGCTGGGTGTTACCCTTGTGCTTTCCTCGACACGTGATCCGAGTGACTCTGCAGTGCACACGCGTCGTGCTGGGTGTTACCTTAGTGCTTTCCTCGACGTGTGATCCGAGTGACTCTGCGGTGCACACGTGCTGTGCCGGGTGTTACCCTAGTGCTTTCCTCGACACGTGATCCGAGTGACTCCGCAGTGCACACGCCTCATGCTGGGTGTTACCTTAGTGCTTTTCTCGACACGTGATCCGAGTGTCTCTGCGGTGCACACGCGTCGTGCTGGGTGTTACCTTAGTGCTTTCCTCGACGTGTGATCCGAGTGACTCCGCGGTGCACATGTGTCGTGCTGGGTGTTACCCTCGTGCTTTCCTCGACACGTGATCCCCACGCGTCATGCTGGGTGTTATGCTGGGTGTTACCCTGGTGCTTTCCTCGATGCGTGATCCGAGTGACTCCGCGGTGCACATTCACTGCAGCGTCTCTGTGTGGCAGTCCTCAGCCTTTAAACCTGACGAATGCGTTTAAGTTCACTTCTCAGATTGTCAATGATTCTGTTCCCTAGAAGAAAGCCAGCTTCCATCTACAAGTGTTCTGGGAAAAGGAGAGCAGGTTGAAGTAACATTTCCTATACTGAGACTTGCACCCTGCGATCTCTCACTCATCCCAAATTCTGCATGTGGATGGTAAGCATCAAAAACTTGGCCTATGCCATATAAAGGAAACTCTTAAATTCCTTAGAGGAACGTTAAGTTCATTTTCTAAGAATGACTGAAATAAAACCGAATTATTTTTGTCTCTGACTATTACTAACCTCATTCTTGGGATTGCATGTTTTAAATCTTAAAGTTGGTAAATTTGGGCAATGATATGTAAGTATCTTTAATAAAAGGAATTGGAGAGGATTTTTAAGCTTATTACCAAAGTCTAGGCAGATCTTTGCCTCTGTGATACAACTTTTTCTTTAGAAAGGGGAAGTGGTGATCGGAATGGCCTAGACTTTCCCATCTACCACTGTGCTGTACTTTACACATTTAAAGTTAACCTCAGACAGATTTTATTTATTTCTGTGCTCAGTAGAAATATTATACATATTTGGCAACGTAGGGAAGTACTGTTTAACTGTGATTAAAGAATGTATTACAATTACGTTTACCTCTCCTCTCCAAAATGCTTGAGATTAGGGGGCAACCTTGCTTTGAATGGCCTTGGCCATTGCTTGTCTGTGTCTCTGTGCAGAGCAGCCCCTGGAGCAGAATATTCCCTGCGTGGTCCAAACCACAGAGAGGAAGCAGGGTGGGCATGGAGGCTGGATGCTGTGCTCCCAGCAGGTGCATGGACCTGAGGCACTTTGAGGCTTCCCTGTCTTACCTAGAGCAGAGGGATCCCTCAGAGCTAAGCCGGAGCCACACGACGCATTCTGTTGATGATAGTCATTGGGTGAACCGTGGACTGGTGCTGGTGGATGCCCAGGAGGTGTCCAGGGCGCTGCCTGGGGCGGAGCTGGAGAGGGGGAGGTCTGGAAAACAGGTTCCAGCTGGGTGCCTCTGCCAAGTCCACGTCCAGCCTCTCTGGAGGTGGCTTCTCAGTGCATTAACAGACCCCGTTGGCAGTGGTATTAACTCTGCCGCCTCGGGCCAGCTACTTTCCTCCTGGAGTTGGTTCCTCATTCCCAGGGGTGGGCAGCTTGCGTGGCCTTCAAGTCTAGTCACTCAGAGGCTACCTGAGCAGTGGCCTTGGCCCAGGCACTGGCGCCAACATTTTCTGAAACCTTAGAAGAAAATAGAAACCACAGAGGTCAGAGTGAGCATCTTCACAGACATTAGCAGGTGCCCAGGGGACCCACCACAGGCTGAAATGCCAGCCTGGCACAGATGTGGTTCTCACTGGCAAGAACCGGCCCCGGCCCACGCTCCCCACTCCTGCGGAGAGCTCACAGCCAGGCGAGGGGGCGGGTGTGGGGCCCAGCCTTCAGGAATAAGATTAGTGTGTATTCTTTTCTTTTTTTCCTTAAATCAGTCTTTCTTCTGAGAACACCTAATTATTCTTTTCTTTTTTTCCTTAAATCAGTCTTTCTTCTGAGAACACCCAACGCATGTGGATTGGAAGTTCGGTGGGCTTATTCATATTTAACCTGGCAAACCTGGAAGTGGAAGCTGCTTTATATTACAGGGGTAAGATCTTTGGTGTAAATGCCATGTAACTGTAATGTTTTCCTTTGACTGGTATGTGGGGTGGTGAAAATGTTTGTGGAGAAGGCATCGCCGTGTGAATCTGAGGATGAGATGCTTCAGTCACAACTCAGCATTGGGGATGTGAGGACCTCTGTGCTGCTGGAACTGAAGGACGAGGGCCCTTCCTGGACTCTTGGGCACTCAGCCCTGGAGCCACTCCTTCCCTCCATCCACCAGGCCCTCGCTTGGCACTCCCGGCTGCCCGGGCTTCAGCAGCGTGGTACACCCACAGGAACACCCTTGGGAAACCCCTGGATTCTCCACCATTCCTAGAGAGCCTCCCGGAGCCCCAGGCTCGTACAGCATAAACCTGGCCGAGGCACTCCCCTCTCCAACCCTGGTTCCCTTCTCCAGTTTCCGCCACCCCCAGAAATGTAGGAATAGTCACCTCTACCCCCATCCCCCACCAGAAATGTAGGAACAGTCACCTCCACCCCCACCTCCATCCCTCACCTTATCCCCCTCCCCCAAGACCCCCATCTCATCCCCTGACCCCAGTAGTTCCCACCTGTCCTCTCCTGGTTCTGTGGCTGCCACCAGCTGCACCCTTTCTGCTCAGGAGCCCAGGCGACTTCTGAAAAGCAGGCTGGATTCTGTCCCTCTCCTCCGCTGCAGCAGGGCCTCCTCAGTGGCCTCCCAGGCACTGCTCCTCTCGGTGCCTCCTTTCCAGCCCTGAATGCTCAGACCTCTGTGGGGCTGCGGGATCCATCTGTCTTCATGCGCCCCCTTCCCTTCAGACGCCCATCCTTGCCCCTCCTCAGCTCAGCCAGGCATGGCTTCTCCTTGAAAACTCAGCCTTTCCTTCCCCCAAATGGTCACAGCTCTCATGACACATTTCCTTTCTGATCTGGTGCTGGACGTGTGGCTTCTCCAGGAGGCTGAGCTGCAGGTCCCAGTCCGAGTCACGGCCCGGCCTCGGAGTGGGGCCTGGCATGTGTGAGGCTCAGGGCCTGGTGTGTGTGTGGTCTGTGCCCTGGTGTGTGTGTGGCCTGGGGCCTTGTATGTGTGAATATGTGGTGCCCAGCCTGCAATGTGTGTGGCGGGGCCTGGGCAGTGACTCCGTGTGTGTGTGCTCCCTCCCTCCCCATCATGTTCTTCCTGGTCTTTGCTGAACTGAAGATTTCCAGAGCCTCAGCATCCCACTGGCCGGATCGTGTGCCCTGAGGAACCGCACCGCAGATCGCAAGGTCAGTCCTGAGATGCGGCCTTCCCTGTCTGTGAGACGTGCTGATCTGTGCCTCCAATTTCTCCTTTCTTTGGAGTGATCCTGTAACGACTGGCTGAGTAAATGGGGTTTTGTGTGTGAAAACGTTTTAGGAGTGGCGGGGCGATGTTGCTGCTGTGAGAATGAAGCAGAAGTTAGGATATGTGTGCAGATGCTCTTTTAGTCTGCTTTTACTGGACAGTGTCGCTGACGATGTTGAAACTATGTCCCTGCAGACGCTGTGCTTGCTGGCCTCCCTCTTTGGCGGGAAGATTGCCGTGTTGGAGATCGACCCGGCCGCGCTGGTCAGGGCTCAGCAGTGCCCCGGCCTGAGGCAGAGCCTCTCGGTGCCAGCCAGGTAGAGTGTCTTCAAGTGTGGAGTGTGTGTGCGTGTTCACCAAGTAAGCGGCATTTGGATTTCTTTCTATGTTCAGAAATAAAGTTTAGGAAACTCTGAGGTCTACCAACACTGTTTGGAAGAAACATTTTTTCATGCTGTTGCTTCTGTCTTGTTGAAAGAGTTGATAGTTTATTTTAATTGAAACACTATTTTACTTCAGAACAGGATGGACATTATAAAGCAGCACTTTTATTAAGAATATATTAATTTTTTCCTACAAGGATAAGAATACGCTTGACAGTTTTCATTTTCAAATACTGTTATGTCCGTAGCTGCGTGAATTAGTCATTTGTAACTGTCTTTAAAGTGTGTATGTCACTGAAACATTTCTATCATATTGTTGTTTGCGCTCCTAGTTTCATGTGGCTTGTATCTGTTTCAGCTCCTGTGTCCTACCGACCTCTCCACTGTATCTGGGAATTGCCGAGGAGAAGAGCACCAAGGCTGCTAGTGGACGGCGATGTGGTCAGTATGGGGTGCTATGAAATCTAAGAATACAAGGCTGATGCGTTCTCGTTGTGGTTAGGGCTGCTGCATTGTTTTGCGAATTCCTGTTTGTTAAAATACGCATTCCGTACTTCCTTCCATCCTTCCCTCCTTCGTGGCTCTGCCTCTTACGTGTTTGTTCCGTGTCAGCTGTGGTGGGGAACATGCTGGGTGCTTCCCCTCCTGAACTGGCTGTCACTCATGGGATTCGGCAACATGCCCAAGACTGACCGCTGTTCCTCTGGTGCCTGGTGCAGTGGGGGTGCAGAGTGGACCCTTCAACAATGACTGACCGTGAGAACATTTGTTCCCCTTTTTTCTCTGCTGAGGAATTTGAAAGCAAATCCTGAGCGTGTGATTGTACGCCTGCGCACTTCAGTGTGCCTTTCTGGAACACGTATGTTTTTACGTAGCCACCAGGACATTATATCGAAACAGGTAATTTTTTGGAATCTTGTATTAGCAAGGCCATAATAAATTATTCTCGATTGCCTTGACAATATTTTCTGTTGGTTTGTTCTGAGCAGCAGCCAAACAAATCTACATGTTGCATCTCTCAAACTTTTAGATGGTAAACTTCATTATGTTCCATTTATTTCAAGGCTCACTGATAATTACTTCTTTTTTCCCTTCAGTGACCAGTCTAACCCTTTAATCTATCTTGTGAAACCTCCTACTGGACCTCATTCGAAAAACGAAGGCATTCCCGCAACCCCCTTTCACCTTCTGCCTTGTAGCTAGCTCCCTGACTGCTGGGCCTCACCTCCCAGAAGGGCGTTCTCCCCAGCCAGCGACCTGGCAGCCCCACCCTCGGGCCTCTCCCCAGGCTGGGCTGGGCTAGGCTGGGCTAGGGTTCCTCTCCCCGGCCTGTGCTGGGCTGTGACCCCACCCTCGGCTCTCTCCCAGGCTGGGCTAGGCTGGGCTGGGCTGGGCTGGGCTAGGGTTCCTCTCCCCGGGCCGGGCTTCCTGCATCAGACATGTCTGGACCTCCCGTGGAGACCGTCCTCAGACACGGGCTGTGTCCTTCATACTCCCACGTGGCCCCTGAGCTTGACTTCTGGGTATTCTGGCCTCTCTGTCCCTTCCCTACCAGACTTTCTGAAGTCAGGCCTTGAACACCTTCTGTGCCATTCCTAGGTCTCACTGACTGTGTGGTTCTGACCCGCCTTGCGGATCAGAGAGGGCCATTTTCAGGTGGAAGTCTGGGACTCAGAACTGAGCCTGGGGCTGGAGCTGTTTGCTTGTTCCGTCCTGTCATGGGGGTCCCTGCTGCTGGGGGTTTCCGACGGGTCCCCCATTCCTCGGCCCTATTTCCACAAAAGACCCACTGTCAGGGTTAAGTGTCCATCTCTTGCAGGTTTATGCTTTATGCTCTGCTGCCGTCCCATCACCATGGGGACAGTTCTGAGAAATTGTGAGAATGAAGGCCTGGGGAAGGCGACCAGGCATTGCAGCCTCTGGGCCAAGCTGACTCCTCGCCTGGGAGTGGCCTCTGACCTCCTTCCTCCTCATTAAGTCATGGCACTTCTGCCTTGTAAGGAGGTGCTAATTATTCACCATTGAAAAGGCATCTTAAATTGCAAAAAAACACTACAGCAGAGAAGACAGCAGCAGGTGGGTGTGAAGATGGCTGAGAAGAGAATGCCCCTGGGCTGCTGTGGGCCTAAGGTTTGCCCGAGCTGTCTCCTCCTCCTGGGCCCTCCTGGCCTCCTTGTTGCCCTTCTGGGCCTTCCTGGCCTCCTTCATCCTGGGCCCTCCTGACCTCCTCCTTGCCCTCCTGGGCCCTCCAGGCCTCCTCACACAATCCCTTCCGGCCTCCTCGTTCTCAGCCCTCCCCGAACCTCCTCGTCTTCCTGGACCCCGCAAGCCTCCTCACATGCTTTCCCCCCACCCCTCCTGGTCTATCTTGGCCCTGTCAGTCTTGCCTCCTGCCATTCATCCTTAACAATTGACAGCAGCAGGAGTCAGAGAAATCCCCAAGCAGACACAGTCCCCAGGGAAACCCGACCTCCAAACCAAAGACAGGTTCACGTCTGAAAGCCGAACTACATGTCTCAGGTAAATCCACAGACCGGATTGAGAACCTCTTTTCCTGTTTGGCGCGCTTTCCTCTGATTGGCCCTATTTTACATATACCCACTCTTCCCTAATTGGTTTTTGACACTGCTGTGCCCATCTTTGAGTCATGCCTTTTTTTTTTTAGCCTTTTTTGCATAGTCACAAACCAATCAACATGCACTCCCCCATTCTGAATCCACAAAAGCCCCAAACTCAGCCACACTGGGGGACCACCTGACTGAGGGTGGGGGCCATGACTGAGGGTAGGGGCTGCCCTCTCCAGGTCCCCTCTCTGCTGAGAGTTGTCACTCAATAAAACTCACCAGCCGGGCACGGTGGCTCACGCCTGTGATCCCAGCACTTTGGGAGGCTGAGGTGGGTGGTCCACAAGGTCAAGAGATGGAGACTAGCCTGGCCAACATAGTGAAACCCCATCTCTACTAAAGATATAAAAATTAGCTGAGCATGGTGCCACGCACCTATAGTCCCAGCTACTCAGGAGGCTGAGGCCGAGAATTGCTTGAACCCCGGAGGTGGAGATTGCAGTGAGCTGAGATTGTGCCATTGCACTCCAGCCTGGGCGACAGAGCAAGACTCTGTCTCAAACAAAACAAAACAAAATTCTGCCCTGCTCACCCTTCAGTTGTCAGGGTAACCTATTTTTCTTGGATGCAGGACAGGGACTCAGGACTCACCAAATGTGGGTATGAAAAATGCTGTAATGCGGTAGCCCTCCACCTTCCTCCCTTAGCCAGCGCTAGGCAGCCGCCACACGTGACAGGAAACAGCAGTGGGGCCGGGCCAGCCCCAGAGGTGCAGGGCAAGGCAATGGGACTGAGAGCCTCACACAAGCGGGCCAAGTAGGCAGGTACCTCCTGCAGAGAGCTGGGGTCAAGGGAGGCCCGGGCAGGGGCATCGCCAGCCTTGGGGGTCTCCAGCTGGCAAAGAGGCACCGAGAAATCCATCATCACAATGAATCCTCTCACATGTCTCATCTGGGGCTGTTGATATGTAGAGTAATATTCTTTCTTAAGTGCATTCTTTTGTGATTTGTTTTTTTCACTTCGTGTCTGTGAGATTTGTTTCCATTGCTGTACAGCATTTTGTTGCCTGGATATACTGCGGTTTATGTACCCACAATTTATTCAGTATTAACAGCCGTTTGGCTTATCCCAGGCTGTTGCTGTTGTGAGCAATCTTTGCAGCACCTGCTGCACCTGCTGTACCTGCTGCACCTTCTGCACCTGCTGTACCCTGCTGTACCTTACTGCACCCTGCCGTACCCTGCTGTACCTTACTGCACCCTGCCGTACCCTGCTGCACCTGCCGCACCCTGCCGCACCTGCCGTACCCTGCCGCACCTGCCGTACCCTGCTGTACCTTACTGCACCCTGCCGTACCCTGCCGCACCTGCCGCACCGTGCCGCACCTGCCGTACCCTGCCGCACCTGCCGTACCCTGCCGCACCTGCCGTACCCTGCCGCACCTGCCGTACCCTGCCGTACCTTACTGCACCCTGCCGTACCCTGCTGCACCTGCCGTACGCTGCCGCACCTGCCGTACCCTGCCGCACCTGCTGTACCCTGCCGCACCTGCCGCACCTGCCGCACCTGCCGCACCTGCCGTACCCTGCCGCACCTGCCGTACCCTGCCGCACCTGCCGTACCCTGCCGCACCTGCCGTACCCTGCCGCACCTGCCGTACCCTGCCGCACCTGCCGTACCCTGCCGCACCCTGCTGCACCCTGCCGTACCCTGCTGCACCTGCTGTACCCTGCTGCACCCTGCTGTACCCTGCTGCACCCTGCTGCACCCTGCCGTACCCTGCTGCACCTGCTGTACCCTGGAGCCGGGAGGGCTGCCCTGATGTCTGTGGGGGCAGCTGCTGGGCTCGGGGTGAAGGTTCCCTACATGGCAGGTCGACGGCAGACGATGGTGAAGGCCTTCCCAGGTGGCTGGCCAGCGGCTACTCCAGCTACTCTCTTGCCCCGAGTTCTTGCCATGGCTGCATGTTACTGGACGCTGGAATTTCTGCTCACCCAGTGTGAGACAAGAATAGCACTGGGTGGTCGCAGGAGGACGGAAAACCCAGGCAACAGCGAAGACAGGAATGTGGCAAAGTAACCACAGGATGGCAGAAAACCCAAAGCAAGGGAGGGAGAGAGAAGAGAAGGCAAACCCACCAGCGTGATGTGTCCTCTGTTCTCCCGGGAAAACGCGAGTAAGGGAGAACGAGGCTGTGGTGGGGGCTTACTTAAAATCCCCTCCTTTCCCAGAATACCTGATGATGATCCTGCCCTCTCATGAAAGAAACCCGCAAAATGAGGAACACAAACTCCTCTGCACACCTCCCTCTGAGTGTGCCTCCTGAGCTTGCCTCCTTCTCCTGAGCGGGCCTCCTCCTGAGCTTGCCTCCTTCTCCTGAGCGGGCCTCCTCCTGAGTGCACCTCCTTCTCTTGAGCTCACCTGGCTTCTCACTTAGGCACGTGCTTTCACTTTGCAGCAAAAGCTGCTGTTTTTCCCATCTAAATTTTTGCTCTGAAGTGCCAAGATCCTGGAAACTGGCTGGGGGTGGTGTCTCACCAGCATTTGGAGACCCTCCTGAGTCGTCTGGCAACCAGTGACAATACAGAGGTGTCTTTTGATTTTGTTTGCGTTTTCCTGGTTAAACATGAGGTGGTTATTGCGTGTGTTTAATCAGCTACGTTTTGCTGTCATAAACCTAATTAGCATTTATTGTCTCTTTGCTATTATTTTGTACAGGATCCTCTGGATTCATGTTCTCACGTGATTGATTTCTCAGGAACTTCCTGAGTTTGGTTTTGGTGTGCCAGCTCCACAGATGAGCTGGGAGGAGCTTTCTCTGTGTCTGTACCTGAATGGTTGGTGTAGAATTTTAAATTAGATGTATGATTGATTTTGAGTATAAAACCAGCCTGGTGTGTCAGGGATAAATCCCAGGATGTATAGTCTTCTTGTTGTGTTGTTGAATTCGGTTTGCTAATATTTTGTTGAGGATTTTGGCATCAATTTTCACTAGAGAAATGGGCCTTTAGTTTTCTGTGTGTTTTTTTCTGTTTTGTTTGCTTTTGTATTTGTTTTTCGGAACTGAATGAAGTGCAGTGTGTTCCCCCAAAGGAGATTTGCGTTGCTTTCTAGGGGTTTGGGTTGCACAAATCCACAGCTTCTGGCCTTTCAAGCCACTTGTCAAGGTCACTCTGACTGCAGGGTCATCAACCTGGGACTAGTACAGGCCATCACGGCACAGGGTTCCTGGGCCAGTTGGAGAAGGTGAAGCTCGCATAGTGGCCGAGGGCTTGGCCTTTCTGCCCTCACCTCCCTGAGGCCATACAAATCCTCAGCCTGTGTGGCTGGAGTTGAAGCCATCCACAGCTCACCTCAGTTTCGATATCTTGTCCCCATTTTCTTTCCCCTTTTAACAAAATGAAGCACATATTTCTTCTGGCATTTGTGGTTTTTCTCTGTGGGAGAGGCCATCTGAATACCTAACCAGTGTGTTATACAGATAATGAAAGTCAGCGTTCACCTTTTAAATAGCAGCACCCTCAAAAAATTGAAAAAGGCCTATGTAGTAATGATGCTAATGAAGAATTGAAAGTGTTTATTAGGTAAATAATATGGTTTTATACATTATTTATGTGGTAAAGAGTCTGTTTTTCGTAGTCTTTTAAAAGACTTTCTGTTCATTTACTTTTTTTCATTTAAGATATATATAAAATAAAACTTACCATTTTAACCATTTTTAGGTGTATGGTTCAGTGGCATTCCTTACCTTTTCATTGTTGTGCAATGTAAAAAAACCTTTTTGAACCATTTGCTTAATTAATAACAGGAATTTTATACGTATATGTATATTTCTAGTAAAAAATGTTTGGAAAAACTTGACTAACCAATATTAATTAAAATGGCTAATAGTTGGAATCATACTAGACTGTTCAGGTGGTTTCCCAAAGCTCTGACTGTTTCCATGGAAAGAAACTCCCCTATGAGAGTGGGCTCCACACTGAGTGGCGAGCAGTGCCTCCTGCGTGTCCATCACACGGGGTCCGTCACACGGGGTCCGTCACATGGGTCCGTCACACAGGGTCCGTCACATGGGTCCATCACACAGGGTCCGTCACACGGGATCTGCTTGTCAAGTCTGCCGCCCTGGACGGCTGTGCGTTTGGGAAGTGAGATCTGTGCACACAGTCTGTTGTGAAGGAGACACGAGTCTCGTGATTTCACCTTTAAACTTACCGTGTTTGTTTCCTTAGCTTTTCTTCTTACCTACGCTTCATTTAGATCACTCCTTAAAAGTGGAATTTTTAGACTTTTTGTCAACATGGGTCATCTTGTTTCAGACGAGCATATGTGATGTACTATGGTTCGCAACTAACGACAGCATTTACAGTTTAGAACAAAACCTTCAGTAAGAACAATTATATAAATAGTTTTAATACAGAGATAACTTTTCTGTAGCAAGAAAGTGATGAAATTTTAACATGTTGATGTTTTGTGTGTAATTTAGAAAATATTCCCATGGAAAATTAATGGATATGTTTCATTTACAGTAATGCTGTAATCCCAAAATTTGCCTTCCTCTACTTACAACACTATAACAGAGATAATATAAACAGAACATATGTGGTAGATGAGGAACTATTATATTTTAATGCTTAGAGCATTTGTAAAACTAATATGCAGTTACGTATTTGTAAACCTTATTCTAGGACTTTTAAGACTTTCTCATAATGAAGTGTACTACTAATGTGCCCGTAACTTTATCATTTTATCCTGAAATGGTTTTCCTTCCGGTGATATTTGATTATTTTCTGGAGAAGGTTTTTTCTCCTCTCCTGACTGTGGATTGGACAGTGCAGTTTCCTGGCTTCTCCTGGGAGCAGTTACTTTTCTAGCGCCCTTGCCCTCTGAGGGTTCCTTTGGGGTCCCAGCTGTGTGTGGTGTCTTCCTTTCCCTTGGAAACCTCTTCCCCTCCAGGTCTGGCTTCGCTCTGCAAGCCTGTGAGGTCGGTGGAGCCCAGGCCCAGGGAGGAGACCTGGCTTACAGATTCCTGGTCACCTCCTGGACTCTGATTTGCACAGTGAGACGTCCACAATATTAAGTTAATATTCTCTTAGGGCCACTTGATTCTTAATGGGAATGTGATTAGGTTTTCCTGTATGAAATAGTGCCAGAAACAGAACTGAATTTCTTTGTTTTTTAAAAAATAACTATTTTTAGAATTTTTCAGTATCATGCAAATATCCATTTTTCTAAAGCTATTTTATAATATTGTACAGACTATTCATATTGAACACCAACTATTAAATTTATGCAAAAATAAATAGTTCTGGCAAAACTATATTTGGTCTGAAAACATTTTTTTGATTTGTAAATATTTGTGGTAAGTTCACGTGATGTCAGAGTTTTTGTCAACTGGTAGTGCTATGCAAAATGTAAAATAGGCTAGGCCACGCGCAGTGGCTCACGCCTGTAGCCCCAGCACTTTGGGAGGCCGAGGCAGGCGGATCATGAGGCCAGGAGATCAAGACCGTCCTTACCAACATGGTGAAACCCCCTCTCTACTACAAATGCAAAAATTAGCCGGGTGTGGTGGCGGACACCTCTAATCCCAGCTACTCGGGAGACTGAGGCAGGAGAATCGCTTGAACATGGGAGGTGGAGGTTTCGGTGAGCCGAGCTCACACCACTGCACTCCAGCCTGAGCGATAAAGCAAGACTCCATCTCCAAAAAAAAACAAAAAACAAAAAACAAAAACAAAACGCAACAACAAAAAAACAACCAACTTGGGCTGTTTTCTTATCCTTGATTTAATCTTTTGCTGATGATGGTTGGTGTGACTTCAGATATGACACCTCTTACATTTATGGTCAGAAATTCATTCTGTTTTGAAGAAACTCTGTTCTTCTCATGTCCATCCTGAGATGCTAATTTTAAGTGTTTGTTTCTTCTTTAAAATTGCCTTTCCACAGCTGCACAGAACGTCACGAAGGACCAGCGCCTGGTTTTCCACAGTAAAGTCAGATCATCTGGTTATGCGTCAGCACCACAGTAAGTAAACTCATGTCAGTGAGAGACAGAAATGCACCTGCGTCACAGATGCAGGACTTTAACACAGTAGGGACACACATATGTCCCTGAGGTTCACAGCATGGAGAGAGGACACAGCAATAGAAACAGAAGTTAAAATGTGGTGGGTTGGACCCCAGCATGCCAGTTAGCAGCAGCTGCAGCAGCAAATGTTTCCTGGGCACTAACTGTGTGCTGGGCCTCAGAGCAGCCCTCCGCATCCTTTTCTGATAACGTGGTGGTCCCAGGAGATGAGAGGAAGCTGGTGGGCTCTGGGGCTGGGAGAGCGGGACGATGCTGTAAATAAACACGGCCCATCAAGGCCAGACACAATGTTCTTCTTAGAACATAACTTTGCTGTAACATCAGAGCACGATAACAGAGTGCATTTAGGCCCTGAGTTAGCAAGACTGCTCCAAGGCAAGGAGATACAAAGCAGCCAAGAAACCACAGGGTGGCCTTGAGATTTCCTAAACCTTCACAAGCCCACTCCTGAAAGGCAAATGTGACTTTTCTAAAGAAAATGCAGACATATACCCTGCCTCCTACCTCACCTCTTGACCTTTTATGTCTCTTAACATAGTGGCCAAAATGACTCTGTTACCTGGAGTCCCTGTCCTCAGTGCACACACTCATCTCCCTGGTTGGCGCTCACCTCTACCAAGCTCCCCGCTTCATGTTCCCCTGGCCACTCCCCGACTCCCACCCTGCCCCCTGGGACTGCTGTGCTCCAGGCAGAAATCCCAGGCCACTGTGTAAACACAGCCTCCAACCTTCCAAGCTCTTCCCCGCTCTGCTTGTTCTCTTTGGCTTGAACAATGGTGACTGTGTCTTCTTAGCTGTTCTTTAAATCCCTGTGTCTGGGACAGCACTCAGCACCCTGGACCCTCATAAGGCACTTCTGGAGGGATGGATGGATGGAGAGATGGACAGAAGGGGATGGAGGGATGAGAGATGGATGCATATGTGCATGGGTGGTGGGGATTTGGGATGGAGAGATGAGAGGTGGATGGGGGGGGGATGGATGGAGGGGATGGAGGGATAGAGAGACGGATGAGTGGGTGGATGGATGGAGGGGATGGAGGGATGAGAGATGGATAAGTGGGGATGGATGGAGGGATAAGAAATGGATGGAGGGGATGGAGGAATGGAGAGATGAGGGATGGATGAGTGGGTGGGTGGATGGAGGGATGGAGGGGTACAGAGATGAAAGATGGATGAGTGGGTAGATGGATGATGAAGATGGAGGGATAAGAGATGGATGAGTAGGTGCACGGATGGAGGGGATGGAGGGATGGGGAGATGAGCGATGGATGAATGGGTACATGGATGGAGGGGATGAAGGAATAGAGGGGTGAGATGGATGAGTGGGTAGATGTAGGGGAATGGAGAGATGGAGAGATGAGGGATGGATGAGTGAGTGGATAGATGAAGGGACGGAAGGATGACGGATGGATGAGTGGGTAGACAGATGGAGGGGATGGAGGGATGCAGAGATGAGAGATGGATGAGTGGGTGGGTGGATGGAGGGGATGGAAGGTTGGAGAGATGAGGGATGAGTGGGTGGATAGATGAGGTGATAGAAGGATGGAGAGATGAGGGATGGATGAGTGGGTGGGTGGATGGAGGGGATGGAAGGATGGAGAGATGAGGGATGGATGAGTAGGTGCATGGATGGTGGGAGATGGAGGGATGGAGAGATGAGAGACGGATAAGTGGAGGGATGGATGGAGGGGATGGAGAGGATGAGTGGGTGGATGGATGGAGGGGAAGGAGGGATGCAGAGATGAGAGATGGATGAGTAGATGGAGGTGATGGAGGGATGGAGAGATGAGGAATTGATGTGTGGGTAGATGGATGGAGGGGGGATGGAGGGATGAGAGATGGGTGTGTGGGTGCATGGATGGTGGGGGATGGAGGGATGGAGAGATGAGGGATGGCTGCATGGGTGGCTGAATGGAGGGGATGAAGGAATGGAGAGATGAGGGATGGATGTATGGGTGGATGGATGGCGGGGGATGGAGGGATGCAGAGATGAGGGATGGATGTGTGGGTGGATGGATGGAGGGATGAGAGATGGATGAGTGGGTGGATGGATGGCAGGGATGGAGGGATGCAGAGATGAGATATGGATGAGTGGCTCAATTGATGGAGGGGGGCTGGATGGAGAGAGATGAGAGATGGATGTGTGGGTGAATGGATGGAGGGGATGGAGGGATGAGTGAATGGATGGATGATGATTGGATGGATAAATTCTGCTCCAGTAGCATCTGCAGCTTTGTATGGATTCCCCAGTTCTGCCATATTAAGGCATGTTGTGAGTGTCAGGCTTTGTGTGGGAGCCCCAGGGAATGAGGGGTTAACGGACATTGGTGGCCCTGAGTGCCAGTCTGAGGCTTTGGACTTAAAGGAAAAGCCCAGCATCAGGATCCCATTATAGGATTTTAAAGGAGTCACAGGACGATGTGTAGCAGGACAACATCTCTGAGGCAGCGTGAGAGACACAGGAGGGGACGAGGTGACTTGAGGGCTGGAGGACAGGTGGGAGGGGCCCAAAAGCATTTATGCAGACGTCTGTATCTACGTATATAATTTTTTTCACTGTAAAATATGAATCTCTTAAGAACCTTAGAGCTCTTAATATTTGAGAGAGATATAAGAGTTTTCTTTCCACAGTGTGACTATGTTTTCACCAAAGACCAACATCAAGAGTGAGGGGAAAGGATCTTCAAGACGCAGGAGCAGCTGTGTATGGTGTGTGGTGTCGCGCACATTCCAAGTACATTTGAAATAACCTAGACCTTTCCAATGCTTTAACGGGTTCTTTTCCAAAAAGGTATAAGACCTTATATGTGTACATGTGTTTACGTACATATGTACACAGATATGTATATGAATATTATTTATATATATTTTTAGCCAAATTTAATTCTTTCCTGTTAATTTTTCAGACATGGTCTGTTCTTACCACCCTAACAATTTTGAAATATTAAATTTTTGTTAAAATTTGGTTTAGAAAATGCCATAGCCAGTGCTCCTCCCTGTCATGCACGTGGATTGGGTGAAAACACTGGGGCCGTTGTAGTGCCAGGTGCTCATTCTGAGTGGCCGTGGCCCGCGCCACTGGGGAGAACGCCTGTCCATGGGACTGGCTTCACACTGGCTGCAGCTCTGACTGTGGGCATGTCCTACAGACACCTGGGCCCCTTGTGACTGGACAGGGAAGAGCTTGGGGGACGTCTAGGGTCCCTCCCAGTCCTGGATTTAAGATTACATTGAGGAGAGATACGGGCGCGTTCACTGCGTTTTTCTGCAGCCTTGCTGCTGTTCCTGCCACGCTCTGCTTGATATTACACATATGCTTGCAGCAAAATGCATCCAGGCCTTATGCAGATGAAGTGTGGCATCAGAGTTCCATTCAGCTCTGATTCTGTTGGTAATTTTTTCTGTGAGGGCCCCGCTTTCCAGACAGAGCGCGCTGCCTCTTCTGCATTTGGCTCTCGTGGGCCATCTGCTGAGAGCTGCTGGGCAGCAGTGGTGGCGAGGCCTCCAAATGCCACGCAGGGCCCAGGCATGTTTATGGAAGGCATTGACATGTACCCAGAAGGCATCTGTAGATGTCGCCACCCACAGCGGCGTGAGACTGGAAAGCGAAATTCGTTTTCTGTTAGTGAGAACCCTCACCCCCAAATCGTCACAGTACTCACATCAGTTTATGTGAAACGCAAGAAATCCTTGCTGTTTTATATGTAAAATACATGTCTTTTTTGGCAATATGGAATGTAAGTCTATTTAAAAGAGTTATTTCATGATTTTGAATGTAAGAGTCCAAATATAGACATATATAGATAAATTTTCAAGTTTACTGGAATACAATTATACATGTCGATGGGGGGAAGCCCACTTCATTTCCTGCTATGTTTTACTTCTGATCTCACTTTGAATGTCTCCCAATCGCTGTTACCTCTGGCCTTCCCTCAGGGAGCCGTACCCCGTGGAGTGCGCTGTGCTCACCAAGCCCGGCCCCCAGGTTGCCGCCGCCCCCACCTGCACACGCGTGTGCTGCCTCCAGTACTCAGGTGCGCCACGTCCCGCGGGAGCTGGGTAGCATTTCATTTGTAAGTCTTTTATTCTGTCCACTGTAAACGTTTTTCTATTGTATCATAATTGTAAATATATTTTTTAAAACGTTGGTTACTTGAAGTTGCATGGCATGGTTTGTGTCTGGATAAAAACTGAGACTCCGTTTCACTCGACTATAGTGAGGGTGATCACTGGGCATCTTGCCCCTGCGTTGGCACAGAGACTGGCACTCACTCACTAGCAGCGAATTTGCTGTTCTGTGTCCAGCTCCTCCGGATTTTGCTCTCTGTGTGTCTGATCCCTCCTACAGAAGTGTTAAGGTGGGCCTGGTGGGAGGGCTTTGGCAGGCCGAGATGCTAACAGAACAGTCGCTGCTTCCCTCTGGAGATGCGGTCTCTGCTCATGGGTAGGCTGGAGACGCCAGGCTGGGGATGACACTGCGCAGGCTGTGCACAGGATTCCTTCCTTACCAGACCCTCAGCCGGGCCCTTTTCCTGCAGGGCTGAGTGTGTCTCAGCTTCCGTGACAGTCGCCCTGTATCTCATGTATGTCCTGATAATGCCTTCATCAGGCTTCTCTTGGATCTCAGCAATGTTTTCTAAATAATGTTTGACAGAAGAGAGGAGCAGCTTGTGAGAGTGCCCTTGGCCTCTGCTAGGTAGTTCCAGCACTTGAACGCTTCTCAGAAGTGAGGTTTCCTTGCAGGTGAGCTGTGCCCTTGCCTGGGGCTGGACAGAAAGTCCTGTCTGGGCTGGTATCTTGTCCCACCCTCATGCCATCTGTCCAGAGGGTTGAGTCGCATAAGGGTTACCATTTACTACTCTGCTGAATTCCCTTTATTTTATTATATAATTGTAGCCAAAGAAGTTTTAAAATCATTTTCGGAAATTAGATAGGTAGTATTATCAGTAAATGTCCTTTTGATCTTTGATAGACTAGAACATTCCTTCAGTGTTATCGGCCTTCAAGTTTGAATATTGTGAGTGACATCTATAATTCCTTCCTTCCTTTCTTCCTTCCTTCCTTCCTTCCTTCTTTCCTTCCTTCCTTCCTTTCTTCCTTCCTTTCTTTCTTCCTTTCCTTCCTTCCTTCCTTCCTTCCTTTCCTTCCTTCCCTTCCTTCCTTCCTTCCTTTCTTCCTCCCTCCCTCCCTCCCTCCCTCCCTTCCTCCCTCCTTCCCTCCCTCGGAGTCCCACTCTGTTGCCCAGGCTGGAGTGCAGTGGCACAATCTTGGCTCACTGCAATCTCCACCTCCTGGGTTCAAGCGATTCTCCTGCCTCAGCCTCCCGAGTAGCTGGGATTACAGGCATGCAGCACCATGCCCGGCTAATTTTTGTATTTTTCGTAGAGACGGGGTTTCGCCATGTTGGCCAGGCTGGTCTCAAACTCCTGACCTCAGGTGATCTTCCTGCCTCAGCCCCCCAAAGTGCTGGGATTACAGGCGTGAGCCACTGCACCCAGCTCTATCATTTATTTCTACCCTGTTTTCGGAAAATGTTTCAATGTAACTGCTTAGCTGAGTATGCCTCTGGACACTCTGCTGATTTGAGGCAGGCCTCGGGCCGTGTTTCAGGGGGTGTCCTGTCCTGAGTGAAGGGACCTTTTGGGTACAGCTTTTCCTGTTCACAACCTCGTACAGCAGCCACACCCTCTCATCCTGCTGCTCATCCTGCTGTTCCTCTTCTGTTAAGAAAGGACGGCAAGGATAACAAAGGCAGCACCTTACAAAGTTGTTGGGTAGAGGATATGAGAAAGGATTAACACAGGGGCTGGCGCTGCAGACCCCCATGTCGATGTTAGTGTTTGTGTTTTAGAACCAGGTCAACTAGAAGTTCTACTCTTGCCTGTGGTCAGTGTGACTCCTATGAATTAGGCTTTTCTACAGTGTTGCTCCTGTGAACTAGGCTTTTGTGCAGTGTGACCCTGTGAACTAGCCTTTTCTACAGTATGACCCTGTGAACTAGGCTTTTCTACAGTGTGACGCTATGAACTAGGGTTTTCTACAGTGTGACCCTGTGAACTAGCCTTTTCTACAGTATGACCCTGTGAACTAGGCTTTTCTACAGTGTGACCCTGTGAACTAGGCTTTTCTACAGTGTGACCCTGTGAACTAGGGTTTTCTACAGTGTGACTCCTGTGAACTAGGGTTTTCTACAGTGTGACCTTGTGAACTAGGCTTTTCTACAGTGTGACCCTGTGAACTAGGCTTTTCTACAGTGTGACCCTGTGAACTAGGCTTTTCTACAGTGTGACCCTGTGAACTAGGCTTTTCTACAGTGTGACCCTGTGAACTAGGGTTTTCTACAGTGTGACCCTGTGAACTAGGCTTTTCTACAGTGTGACCCTGTGAACTAGGGTTTTCTACAGTGTGACTCCTGTGAACTAGGCTTTTCTACAGTGTGACCCTGTGAACTCGCCTTTTCTACAGTGTGACCCTGTGAACTAGGGTTTTCTACAGTGTGACCCTGTGAACTAGGGTTTTCTACAGTGTGACCCTGTGAACTAGGCTTTACTACAGTGTGACCCTGTGAACTAGGGTTTTCTACAGTGTGACCCTGTGAACTAGGGATTTCTACAGTGTGACCCTGTGAACTAGGGTTTTCTACAGTGTGACCCTGTGAACTAGGCTTTTCTACAGTATGACCCTGTGAACTAGCCTTTTCTACAGTGTGACCCTGTGAACTAGGCTTTTCTACCTGTGACTCCTGTGAACTAGGGTTTTCTACAGTGTGACCCTGTGAACTAGGCTTTTCTACAGTGTGACCCTGTGAACTAGGCTTTTGTGCAGTGTGACCCTGTGAACTAGGCTTTTCTACAGTGTGACCCTGTGAACTAGGCTTTTCTACAGTGTGACCCTGTGAACTCGCCGTTTCTACACTGTGACCCTGTGAACTAGGCTTTTCTACGGTGTGACCCTATGAACTAGGGTTTTCTACAGTGTGACCCTGTGAACTAGGCTTTTCTACAGTGTGACCCTGTGAACTAGGGTTTTCTACAGTGTGACTCCTGTGAACTAGGCTTTTCTACAGTGTGACCCTGTGAACTCGCCTTTTCTACAGTGTGACCCTATGAACTAGGGTTTTCTACAGTGTGACCCTGTGAACTAGGGTTTTCTACAGTGTTACCCTGTGAACTCGCCTTTTCTACAGTGTGACCCTGTGAACTCGCCTTTTCTACAGTGTGACCCTGTGAACTAGGCTTTTCTACAGTGTGACCCTGTGAACTAGGGTTTTCTACAGTGTGACCCTGTGAACTAGGGTTTTCTACAGTATGACCCTGTGAACTGCTTTTCTACAGTATGACCCTGTGAACTAGGCTTTTCTACAGTGTGACCCTGTGAACTAGGCTTTTCTACAGTGTGACCCTGTGAACTAGGCTTTTCTACAGTGTGACCCTGTGAACTAGGCTTTTCTACAGTGTGACCCTGTGAACTAGGCTTTTCTACAGTGTGACCCTGTGAACTAGGCTTTTCTACAGTGTGACTCCTGTGAACTAGGCTTTTCTACAGTGTGACCCTGTGAACTCGCCTTTTCTACAGTGTGACCCTATGAACTAGGCTTTTCTACAGTGTGACCCTGTGAACTAGGCTTTTCTACAGTGTGACCCTGTGAACTAGGGTTTTCTACAGTGTGACCCTGTGAACTAGGGTTTTCTACAGTGTGACTACTGTGAACTACCTTTTCTACAGTGTGACCCTGTGAACTAGGCTTTTCTACAGTGTGACTCTGTGAACTAGGCTTTTCTACAGTGTGACCCTGTGAACTAGGGTTTTCTACAGTATGACCCTATGAACTAGGGTTTTCTACAGTGTGACCCTGTGAACTCGCCTTTTCTACAGTGTGACCCTGTGAACTCGCCTTTTCTACATTGTGACCCTATGAACTAGGCTTTTCTACAGTGTGACCCTGTGAACTAGGGTTTTCTACAGTGTGACCCTGTGAACTCGCCTTTTCTACAGTGTGACCCTTTGAACTAGGCTTTTCTACAGTGTGAACCTATGAACTAGGGTTTTCTACAGTGTGACCCTATGAACTAGGGATTTCTACAGTGTGACCCTGTGAACTCGCCTTTTCTACATTGTGACCCTGTGAACTAGGCTTTTCTACAGTGTGACCCTATGAACTAGGGTTTTCTACAGTGTGACCCTGTGAACTAGGGTTTTCTACAGTGTGACCCTGTGAACTAGGGTTTTCTACAGTGTGACCCTGTGAACTCGCCTTTTCTACAGTGTGACCCTGTGAACTCGCCTTTTCTACAGTGTGACCCTATGAACTAGGGTTTTCTACAGTGTGACCCTGTGAACTAGGCTTTTCTACAGTGTGACCCTGTGAACTAGGGTTTTCTACTGTGTGACCCTGTGAACTCGCCTTTTCTACAGTGTGACCCTGTGAACTAGGCTTTTCTACAGTGTGACTCCTGTGAACTAGGGTTTACTACAGTGTGACCCTGTGAACTAGGCTTTTCTACAGTGTCACCCTGTGAACTAGGCTTTTCTACAGTATGACCCTGTGAACTAGCCTTTTCTACAGTGTGACCCTGTGAACTAGGCTTTTCTACCTGTGACTCCTGTGAACTAGGGTTTTCTACAGTGTGACCCTGTGAACTCGCCTTTTCTACAGTGTGACCCTGTGAACTAGGCTTTTGTGCAGTGTGACCCTGTGAACTAGGCTTTTCTACAGTGTGACCCTGTGAACTAGGCTTTTCTACAGTGTGACCCTGTGAACTAGGCTTTTCTACAGTGTGACCCTGTGAACTAGGCTTTTCTACAGTGTGACCCTGTGAACTAGGGTTTTCTACAGTGTGACCCTGTGAACTAGGCTTTTCTACAGTGTGACTCCTGTGAACTAGGCTTTTCTACAGTGTGACCTGTGAACTAGGCTTTTCTACAGTATGACTCCTGTGAACTAGGCTTTTCTACAGTGTGACCCTGTGAACTCGCCTTTTCTACAGTGTGACCCTGTGAACTAGGGTTTTCTACAGTGTGACCCTGTGAACTAGGGTTTTCTACAGTGTGACCCTGTGAACTAGGGTTTTCTACAGTGTGACCCTGTGAACTAGGGTATTCTACAGTGTGACTCCTGTGAACTAGGCTTTTCTACAGTGTGACCCTGTGAACTAGGCTTTTCTACAGTGTGACCCTGTGAACTAGGGTTTTCTACAGTGTGACCACGTGAACTAGGGTTTTCTACAGTGTGACCCTATGAACTAGGGTTTTCTACAGTGTGACCCTGTGAACTAGCCTTTTCTACAGTGTGACCCTGTGAACTCGCCTTTTCTACAGTGTGACCCTTTGAACTAGGGTTTTCTACAGTGTTACCCTGTGAACTCGCCTTTTCTACAGTGTGACCCTGTGAACTCGCCTTTTCTACAGTGTGACCCTTTGAACTAGGCTTTTCTACAGTGTGAACCTATGAACTAGGGTTTTCTACAGTGTGACCCTATGAACTAGGGTTTTCTACAGTGGGACCCTGTGAACTCGCCTTTTCTACATTGTGACCCTGTGAACTAGGCTTTTCTACAGTGTGACCCTATGAACTAGGCTTTTCTACAGTGTGACCCTGTGAACTAGGGTTTTCTACAGTGTGACCCTGTGAACTAGGGTTTTCTACAGTGTGACCCTGTGAACTCGCCTTTTCTACAGTGTGACCCTGTGAACTAGGCTTTTCTACAGTGTGACCCTATGAACTAGGGTTTTCTACAGTGTGACCCTGTGAACTAGGCTTTTCTACAGTGTGACCCTGTGAACTCGCCTTTTCTACAGTGTGACCCTGTGAACTAGGCTTTTCTACAGTGTGACCCTGTGAACTAGGCTTTTCTACAGTGTGACCCTGTGAACTAGGGTTTTCTACAGTGTGACCCTGTGAACTAGGGTTTTCTACAGTATGACCCTGTGAACTGCTTTTCTACAGTATGACCCTGTGAACTAGGCTTTTCTACAGTGTGACCAGGTGAACTAGGCTTTTCTATAGTGTGACCCTGTGAACTAGGCTCTCTACCTGTGACTCCTGTGAACTAGGCTTTTCTACAGTGTGACCCTGTGAACTAGGCTTTTCTACAGTGTGACCCTGTGAACTAGGCTTTTCTACAGTGTGACCCTGTGAACTAGGGTTTTCTACAGTGTGACCCTGTGAACTAGGCTTTTCTACAGTGTGACCCTGTGAACTAGGCTTTTCTACAGTGTGACTCCTGTGAACTAGGCTTTTCTACAGTGTGACCCTGTGAACTCGCCTTTTCTACAGTGTGACCCTATGAACTAGGGTTTTCTACAGTGTGACCCTGTGAACTAGGGTTTTCTACAGTGTGACCCTGTGAACTAGGGTTTTCTACAGTGTGACCCTGTGAACTAGGGTATTCTACAGTGTGACTCCTGTGAACTAGGCTTTTCTACAGTGTGACCCTGTGAACTAGGCTTTTCTACAGTGTGACCCTGTGAACTAGGGTTTTCTACAGTGTGACCATGTGAACTAGGGTTTTCTACAGTGTGACCCTATGAACTAGGGTTTTCTACAGTGTGACCCTGTGAACTAGCCTTTTCTACAGTGTGACCCTGTGAACTCGCCTTTTCTACAGTGTGACCCTTTGAACTAGGGTTTTCTACAGTGTTACCCTGTGAACTCGCCTTTTCTACAGTGTGACCCTGTGAACTCGCCTTTTCTACAGTGTGACCCTTTGAACTAGGCTTTTCTACAGTGTGAACCTATGAACTAGGGTTTTCTACAGTGTGACCCTATGAACTAGGGTTTTCTACAGTGTGACCCTGTGAACTCGCCTTTTCTACATTGTGACCCTGTGAACTAGGCTTTTCTACAGTGTGACCCTATGAACTAGGCTTTTCTACAGTGTGACCCTGTGAACTAGGGTTTTCTACAGTGTGACCCTGTGAACTAGGGTTTTCTACAGTGTGACCCTGTGAACTCGCCTTTTCTACAGTGTGACCCTTTGAACTAGGCTTTTCTACAGTGTGAACCTATGAACTAGGGTTTTCTACAGTGTGACCCTATGAACTAGGGTTTTCTACAGTGGGACCCTGTGAACTCGCCTTTTCTACATTGTGACCCTGTGAACTAGGCTTTTCTACAGTGTGACCCTGTGAACTCGCCTTTTCTATAGTGTGACCCTGTGAACTCGCCTTTTCTATAGTGTGACTCCTGTGAACTAGGGTTTTCTACAGTGTGACTCCTGTGAACTAGGGTTTTCTACAGTGTGACCCTGTGAACTCGCCTTTTCTACAGTGTGACCCTGTGAACTAGGCTTTTCTACAGTGTGACCCTGTGAACTAGGGTTTTCTACAGTGTGACCCTGTGAACTCGCCTTTTCTACAGTGTGACCCTGTGAACTAGGGTTTTCTACAGTGTGACCCTGTGAACTAGGGTTTTCTACAGTGTGACCCTGTGAACTAGGGTTTTCTACAGTGTGACCCTGTGAACTAGGGTATTCTACAGTGTGACTCCTGTGAACTAGCCTTTTCTACAGTGTGACCCTGTGAACTAGGCTTTTCTACAGTGTGACCCTGTGAACTAGGCTTTTCTACAGTGTGACCCTGTGAACTAGGGTTTTCTACAGTATGACCCTATGAACTAGGGTTTTCTACAGTGTGACCCTGTGAACTCGCCTTTTCTACAGTGTGACCCTGTGAACTCGCCTTTTCTACAGTGTGACCCTGTGAACTAGGCTTTTCTACAGTGTGACCCTGTGAACTAGGCTTTTCTACAGTGTGACCCTGTGAACTAGGGTTTTCTACAGTGTGACCCTGTGAACTCGCCTTTTCTACAGTGTGACCCTGTGAACTCGCCTTTTCTACAGTGTGACCCTTTGAACTAGGCTTTTCTACAGTGTGAACCTATGAACTAGGGTTTTCTACAGTGTGACCCTATGAACTAGGGTTTTCTACAGTGGGACCCTGTGAACTCGCCTTTTCTACATTGTGACCCTGTGAACTAGGCTTTTCTACAGTGTGACCCTGTGAACTCGCCTTTTCTATAGTGTGACCCTGTGAACTCGCCTTTTCTATAGTGTGACCCTGTGAACTAGGGTTTTCTCAGTTCCTGTACTAGGGTTTTCTACAGTGTGACTCCTGTGAACTAGGGTTTTCTACAGTGTGACTCCTGTGAACTAGGGTTTTCTACAGTGTGACCCTGTGAACTCGCCTTTTCTACAGTGTGACCCTGTGAACTAGGCTTTTCTACAGTGTGACCCTGTGAACTAGGGTTTTCTACAGTGTGACCCTGTGAACTCGCCTTTTCTACAGTGTGACCCTGTGAACTAGGGTTTTCTACAGTGTGACCCTGTGAACTAGGCTTTTCTACAGTGTGACCCTGTGAACTAGGCTTTTCTACAGTGTGACCCTGTGAACTAGGGTTTTCTACAGTGTGACCCTGTGAACTCGCCTTTTCTACAGTGTGACCCTGTGAACTAGGGTTTTCTACAGTGTGACCCTATGAACTAGGGTTTTCTACAGTGTGACCCTGTGAACTAGGCTTTTCTACAGTGTGACCCTGTGAACTCGCCTTTTCTACAGTGTGACCCTGTGAACTAGGGTTTTCTACAGTGTGACCCTGTGAACTAGGCTTTTCTACAGTGTGACCCTATGAACTAGGGTTTTCTACAGTGTGACCCTGTGAACTAGCCTTTTCTACAGTGTGACCCTGTGAACTCGCCTTTTCTACAGTGTGACCCTGTGAACTCGCCTTTTCTACAGTGTGACCCTGTGAACTAGGCTTTTCTACAGTGTGACCCTGTGAACTAGGCTTTTCTACAGTGTGACCCTATGAACTAGGGTTTTCTACAGTGTGACCCTGTGAACTAGGCTTTTCTACAGTGTGACCCTGTGAACTAGGGTTTTCTACAGTGTGACTCCTGTGAACTAGGCTTTTCTACAGTGTGACCCTGTGAACTCGCCTTTTCTACAGTGTGACCCTGTGAACTAGGCTTTTCTACAGTGTGACCCTGTGAACTAGGCTTTTCTACAGTGTGACCCTGTGAACTAGGGTTTTCTACAGTGTGACCCTGTGAACTAGGGTTTTCTACAGTGTGACCCTGTGAACTAGGGTTTTCTTCAGTGTGACCCTGTGAACTAGGCTCTTCTACAGTATGACCCTGTGAACTAGGCTTTTCTATAGTGTGACCCTGTGAACTAGGCTTTTCTACCTGTGACTCCTGTGAACTAGGGTGTTCTACAGTGTGACCCTGTGAACTAGCCTTTTCTACAGTGTGACCCTGTGAACTAGGCTTTTGTGCAGTGTGACCCTGTGAACTAGGCTTTTCTACAGTGTGACCCTGTGAACTAGGCTTTTCTACAGTGTGACCCTGTGAACTAGGCTTTTCTACAGTGTGACCCTATGAACTAGGGTTTTCTACATTGTGACCCTGTGAACTAGGCTTTTCTACAGTGTGACCCTGTGAACTAGGGTTTTCTACAGTGTGACCCTGTGAACTCGGCTTTTCTACAGTGTGACTCCTACGTATTAGGCTTTTCTAAGAGGTCTTTTTTTTTTATTCTTTTAACAGGAGATGGGCAGTGGCTGGCCTGTGGGTTGTCCAACCATCTATCACTCGTTTTTGGTGCCAGCCTGACTGGGACACCTGCTGTGTTTTCAGGTAAAACGTGTCTTAATTTCCGTCGGTATGAACTTAAGGATGGGTGTCACTTGGATCCTGGTTGTCAGTTGCTAAAGGACACTTTTGTTTCATTCAGGACATCAGCAGAACCAAACCACAGCTTGAATTGGGGTCTAAACTGGATTCACTGAGATCTTAAACCAAACAGGGTAAACATTACTCATGAGAACAGCGTGGCAGCACTTCCGTGGCTGGTGCCCTGGAGGCCAAGAGCCAATCATCTGTAGGGTTTTAGGGGAGTGAGTGAAGTTGAATCTTAAATAATTTAAATATATTTAATTAATGTAATCAAAAGGCATACAGTTGAAATACATTTTGAAATTTAGTAGGGTTTGTACATAGGGATTTTTATAAACGTAACAAAGCAAACTATTTTCCTTTAAAAGTAGATCTGAGAGAAACTGTTAAAATTATGACCATTTCAACTCATAACTGGGACATATATTTGATTCCTAATTCTAATTCCATAAAACCTGATAGCTCTTCGTTAGGGTCCTGATACTGCTTGCCTCAGAACTTACACTTGGTAGATATTTTAACCAAAGCACAGAAACAACAAAAAATATCTCACTAGTCCTTCTGTTTTGTACAGGTTTAGCATCCCTAATCCAAAATTCTGAAATCCAAATACCCCGAAATCCAGAACGCTCTGAGTGCCGACATAACACCGAGGAGATGCCCGTTGAAGCATCTCAGATTTCGGATTTTCGGGTTAGGGTTGCTTACCTGCCTTAATGCAAATATTCCACAATCGGAAAGAATGGGAAATCCAAAACACCTGTAATCCCACGCATTGTGAATATGGGACACTCAGCCTGTCGTGTGACCACCCCAAGGGCAGTCGTTAGGAAACACGGAGGTGGGGCCGAGTGGGGCTGAAATGGGGACGGAGGCAGCAGGAGCCAGGCCCAGGTAAGGCCACATCTGGGAGCAGATGAGCGCCCCCAGTGACTCCGGCCTCACGCCCTCTGCTTGCTAATGCCTGGGGCCAGGTCTCGGAGGCCCCCAAGGGCAGGCAGAGCTGGACTCGGCTCCTGCATGAGCAAAGCTGCCGCCCCTGCATGGTCTGGGCAGAGCACAGTTCTCCGGTCTTGGCCTGGATGCCACCCTTGCCCTTCAAGCCCCTTGCTCCTGGTCCCACCCCGCATCTATCCGGCAGCCTCAGAATCTTCACCATGCGCCCGGGAGCCCTGAGCCGGCCTGTTTCGTTGATTGATAGGAGTGGTTGTTCTGTTGACCGTGGATGTTTCCCTGTGTATTTTATTGTTGGAAAAAGGGCTTCTCACTGAACTAAGAAAATGCAGTGGTTTTTCAAATTCATCTTTACAAAAACTTGCTCTGTTTCTGTGTGGGGGGAAAAGTGCCACATTTACCCATCTCAACTGCACAAGCCACATCGTTTCACTTTGGGTGTGTAAGGTTTAATAGTGACATCACTCAATGTTGAAAATGTGACTGGTCTCTCAGCACCTGCTCAGAACACAGAAAAATGAGTGTCTTTATTTCCATTATGATCTGGGACAAATAAGTATAAATTCAAATTTCCTCCTGGAGAGTTCAGGGGCCTCTGAGCACATAGTCAGGTAGCACATCCCATCCTGAAAACCACTGAGAGCAACCGTATTTAATTTAATAAAGGAGTTATGTGTTTCTGCTTTAGATTATAGAATTTTTCCCATCAAAAATTGTGTCTAGTCCAAAGACAGGTACTTGAGTCCCAGGCCTTCCGCCAAGCATGTGCCTGGCACAGAGTAGATTCTCAGCGATACGGGATGGCGGGTTCTGAGCGCGCCGCGCAGGAGAGCTGCATCGTCTGTACGCGCCCTGGAGCCAGTGGTGATCGTTGTGAAGTTCTGGGGTCAGGCATTTCGGAAGATTAAATCTAAAATTGCATTACAGATAGTGGAATTGTATAAAAACGAAATCTTTGTCAAAGTATGAAGTGAAGATCTGTGTCTCTCCTGTTCCTGAGCTTTTGGTTTGGCTCGAGCTGTGCCGAGTGGTTTCTGCTCTTCTCTGAGCGGAGACTGCACACGCTGGCCTCCATGCTGCTTATGTCCCTGAGCGGAGACTGCACACGCTGGCCTCCATGCTGCTTATGTCCCTGAGCGGAGACTGCACACGCTGGCCTCCATGCTGCTTATGTCCCTGAGCGGAGACTGCACACGCTGGCCTCCATGCTGCTTATGTCCCTGAGCGGAGACTGCACACGCTGGCCTCCATGCTGCTTATGTCCCTGAGCGGAGACTGCACACGCTGGCCTCCATGCTGCTTATGTCCCTGAGCGGAGACTGCACACGCTGGCCTCCATGCTGCTTATGTCCCTGAGCGGAGACTGCACACGCTGGCCTCCATGCTGCTTATGTCCCCACACTCTTGACTGCTTCCCCAACACGGGGCTGCATCCAAAGGAAGTCTAGGTCCAGAGGTCTCAAGCTCTGACATAGGCCATGCATGGTGGCTCACGCCTGTAATCCCAGCACTTTGGGAGGCTGAGGTGGATGAATCACTTGAGGTCAGGAGTTCGAGACCAGCTTGGCCAACATGGCAAAACTCTTTCTCTGCTAAAAAATACAAAAATTAGCTGGGCATGGTGGAGGGCGCCTGTAATCCCAGCTACTCAGGGGGCTGACGCACGAGAATCGCTTGAACCCAGGAAAATCGCTTGAACCGCAGAGGTTGCAGTGAGCCGAGATGGCACCACTGCACTATAGCCTGGGTGACAGAGCAAAACTCTGTCTCAAACAAACAAACAAACAAAATCCTGACCTAGACAGGGTTTTAGAATCCTTTTCACTGTGTTTCTGAAGCTCCTCATCTCATCACACACACCACAGGGGAAACTGGTCAATTGAAAAGAGGAGGGAGGCCTTCCGTACAGTGAGGAGGTGGTGGGGAGAGAGAGGAAGAGGCACCCGTGTGGTCCCCCAGGGGCACGTTGCTTCGTGGGGACGGGCCTTGCCTGCGGTGATTCGTCTTCGATGCACCCTGTGGCCACAGCACTTCACGCATGTGTCTGGGGCTGGAGCGTGGGAGAGAAGGGGGATCCCACCTTTGGCAAGTTCTAAGGAATTGCCGTTGTTTTCATCCTGGGAGTGGAAGTCCGTCCCTGACACTTGAGATGAAGGACCAGGCCGATTTGTCAGGACTGAGCAGAAGGTGGCACTTTGCAATCCCTGTATTGCCGGTGCCTCTGCTGGCCTTGGTGGCTTAGTGGACCACTGGGCCCCCAGCAGACGCTGTGCTCATAGGAGGAGGTGGGAAGGACGAGAAAAACACGTTCTCTGTCTCACGAAGAAGGAAGAGCGTGGGTCGCGGTAACTTCACCCTCCCTCCTGTGTGACCTCCTGCGGCCTCTTGCAGCCTGTGGGTCAGGCAGTGGAGGCTGTTCTGAGCTTGATATTGGAAGAGAGTGGGCCACACGGCTGGTAATGGAGTGACTTCTGAGGTCAGTCACTGGGCAGAAGCGTCAGGCCCTTCTCACTGGGAGGACACCCTTATGGCCCAGGCTGCCTGGACCAGGCCCTGCAGCAGGTGTCTGAACCTGTGATATTCTCGGATGGTGCGGAGCTGTGGACGCCACTGGTGTTCAGTACGAGCAGCATGGGTGGCATCTGTTAATGGCAGTCATGAACTTGACTTTCCTTTGAGTCCTGTGGCTGCTGTTAGCTGAGCAGCAGTGAGGAGTGTTTGGAGCTTTCCTTAACCAGCCTCTGTACTTTTGCTAAAACTGCCAGAACTCTACACGTGAGGGCAGCAAAGCTATTTCACGTTTTTCTGCGCTGTAAATTTCTGCTCTGCGTTTCCTGGCGTCCTGTTGCAGAACTGAGTTATGTTCTTAAAATTACATCTTTCCTGGTGTTCCCGTCTTTTTATGCTGGTTCCCTGACAGATGTGGTGTAGTGAGATAGCAGTTCCTTGTCCGGTCTACAGATTGTGATGCGTGATTCACGTGCTGAGGCCCGCAGGAAGGGGCCTTCTGCTCCGTGGGAAGATCCCGGCTACAGCAGGAATTTTCTCGGGAGTTGTGGTTACCCATCCCCTGTGATTTTAATCACAAAGTGCTTAGCTATGGAGGTGAAATGGGGTCGCTGAGCAGGTCTGGGGTCATTTGTTGTCAGGAAGCAGGAGTGAGGCTGCCCTCAGTTTTCTCCTTGCCGTCCCAGCCCGGGTCCTCGGGGGGGTCAGAGGCTGCAGGGCTGGGCGTGGCCTCTCCTTGTCCTCACCTCCCCACCTCCTCCCCTCTCGCCCTCCTCACCGTGACGCCTGGCTTTCGCTCCAGGGTCGACCTCTGAGGAGAAGCACATCCCTGGTCGTCTTCGCTTTCTCCTTTCCTCTGCGTCCGCCGCTTGTTAGAACCGTCAGGTGGTGGCAGCTGAGAGACTGTTTGAAGACGCCTCCCGGCCTGACAGCCGTTCTAGGGGTTATGAGGCAAGACAGGTCCAGAAACCAGCACGGGCTCAGGGCCTGGGCCCCAGGGTTAGGCTGGGGGTAGGATGAGGTGGGGTGTAGGATGAGGTGGGGGGTAGGATGAGGTGGGGGGTAGGATGAGGTGGGGAGTAGGATGAGGTAGGGGGACAGAAAAGCTCTTACAGGTGTATGAAATAAAGGCTGTTTGCCTCGTCGCCTACCTTAGTTTCATATCAGAGCAGCACACACTGCCGACATTCAGACGCCTGAAGACCAGCATCGGCGCTCTCAGAAATCAGCATCCAAGCAGCCATTGTGAGTTTAGACAAAACTTTTCAAATCTGTCAGAACAAATGATCGACTTATATGTGTGTGCTCAGGGATTTTTTTTTTCACTTTTTTCTTCAGTGTTGATGGCAGTTCTTTAAAATCCGGATGCATTATCATGGAGTCCACAGATTTCTATACTGTAGTTTATAATACTAACTGTTATCATGTTCTTCTCTGATAACATACACTCACAGATGCACACATGATGTTGAACTTCTTAGTTTAAGAAATGCGAGGTTTTACACTGCCTGGCCGAGGCATTCAATCACACTCCAAACTTCAGCACCACACAATACACGCTCCTAACAAACCCACACCTGCACCTCCTGAATCTAAAATAAAAGTTGAACAAAATGGAACATGAGTCTTTAGAGCAGCTGCCTTCAGAAGCCACATTGAGTCTCTACTGAAGGGAGATGGTGTACCTGGCCTCAGGCTCTGCGGCCTCACTGTGGCCAGGAGAAGCCTCCTGGCGCGCCCCTTATTACTTGACAAATGCTGTTCCGGTTGTGTTGTATGAAAGTACCAGATAAGCAGCACTCAGTCAAAACTGATACTAACAGTAGAAATAGTCACCCTCTCTGGTCATTCCTGTTAGGTCACGACGGGGCGGTGAACACCGTGTGCTGGAGCCAGGACCGGAGGTGGCTGCTCTCTGCGGCCCAGGATGGGACCCTGCGGGTGTGGTCAGCTCGTGGGGCAGAGCTGGCACTGCTTCTGGTAATGGACGGTCACCTCTGCCATGGGCAGTCATTTCCGAAGGAGCTGAGAGCTTCTCAAAAGTCTCATTTTACCTTAACAGGAGATGAGGAAAGGGACATAAGCCAAGAGTTTGCTTTAGAAAAGTTATTGATTAAAAGTTATTGCTTCAATGCAATAAACATTATTGATTAGTTTTTTAAATGTGTGTCTACATGTATATATTCACACGCACTCAATAGGCACATGCATATAGATGCATACACATATGCACACTTACTTGCCACATATTCACATGCATGCAGTAGGCACATGCATATAGATGCATATGCATGTGCACACTTACATGTTTGCCACATATTCACACACGTGCAATAAGCACATATGATATAGATGCATACACATGCATGCACTTACATACTTACCACATATTCAGATGCACACAATAGGCACATGCATGTAGATGCATACTCATGCGCACACTTACATACTTGCCACATATCCACATGCACACAGTAGGCGCACACGCATATAGATGCATGCACACGCGCACACTTACATACTTGTCACGTGCGCGCATACATTCATATGCTTAAATCTATCCTTATGTTTGTGATGGTCTGCGAATGCCACATGATTAATACTGAAACATTTGAAGAATTTAAAATATTGATTCAATGTGATTTCGTAGACCAGAAGCAAAATGGCCAAGGGGCTATTATGTGGGGGAAGTATATTTTAGGAAGAAGAGTGACTTGTTTCGATGAACTTACATGAGATCATTTGGGAGCGGAACAGGAAAGGGGAGACAGGAAGATGATAACCTTATGACTAGGACAGGGAAAGAAAAGGAAATGGTAGGAAACTCACCTTCAAATCATGAAATTATGAGCAGGTGACTTGCAAAGAACGTAACATAAAAAGCAGTCGCATTTTCAAAGATGTTGGCATTTATTTTCTATGGGTCTTTTATAGAAAGGGGATTGAAGATGAGAAAGACAAGAAAGGCAGTGTCAGTTAAGGAACACCCAGGGCCTCTCTAAAGGTGAAGCATTTGGCAGCAGCTTCAGGAAGTAGTTTGCTGAGAGCTGTGGATGCCGTCAGCTTGCTCTGTGTCATAACACGTTTGGTTGTGAGGTCTAAATATGAGAGCAGACACCTCAGAACTACATTTTAAAACAGTTTAAATTTCAGCTTTAATAAAATCCTTGCTACTTAGTATGTTTACTGCTGAGTTTCAATTCTTTTAAAGTTGTTAAATGGCTGGAATTCAAAGCATTCATTACAGTGAAATTTTAATCATATAATACCTTTCAGAAGTAGTAGGCAGAAACAAAAATTGTAGATTGGGTCTAACAAAGTATATGTACGCATTTAGAATAAGTAGATGTTGGGTTTTAAGAAGAAATAATTTTATGTTTAGAGCAATAGTGTTTTTGTTAACATTTATCGTATTGACAGTAATTACTGGTTTGCATTACAGGGCAGAGACATGTTTTCTAAACCGATACAGTCTGCGCAGTTTTATTATATAGATGCCTTTATATTGTTATCTTCTGGCCCTGAATTTCAGCTACTGAAGTATCATATTGACACTTGCAAAGATGAGATGAAGAGGTAGGCACCCCTCCACCCTGTGCATTAGTTTTAGATCAGAGGAAGCCGTTTCAATAATGTGATGTTGAAAAGGTATTTACATTTTAAAAAGTTGCCCCAAATTTAATAATGACCTCATATCACTAAACTGCTGATGAGAGGGAATTATCCAGATCCTACGCATTTTAAACCTTCCTTTGTATTACTACGTGGGGGGCCTTTGGCATGACAGAATGCGAGAATCTGGGGGATTTGAGAAACCTCAGTTATCATCTCGGCTCTGCAGCTATTGAAGTGATGTTATGTGGAACAAATACTATTGATAATACAAAGTTAAATTATGAACTATTTCAAATATATACATATATATGGGGAATAATAAATATCTCCTTAGCTACACTTAGCTTGGACAAGTATTAACATTTCACTGTCTTTGTTTTCCAGAATTTTTAAAGAAATAAAATATTACAGAGGGAATTAGGAACCTGCCTCCCAGTCCTGTCTGCTTCCCTTTTCTTTCCTTTTGAGATTGGCATATTTGCTTCTTGGTCGTAGTTTTATATTTTTGCTGTATCTCTATGTATTCATGTCATTTTTTTTTTTTTTGAGTGTAACATAAGCGCACCTTTCTTAATCAAAATTATGTTTCTGAGATGTGTGACTTCAGTTTGTTAATTGGGGCGAGTGCCCTGCGGGCAGAATGGGCACCGCGTCTGCCTGCTTCTCCCATGGAGGGACGTCGGGTTGGGACCTGCAAATGGTTGGGTCTCCCAGCCAATAGACGGGCTTGCAGGGAATCCCTGGTCTCAATGAGAGCGTCCCCACTCTCATCTGTCCCGTGTCACAGCTTCCCAGGAGTGACTTCTGGCCTGTGCTGGGGCAGGTTGTACACAGAGGAAGGGCTTCAGGACCCAGCAGCTCCCTCCTGTGGCCCCTCCCTCAGCCTTGTCTTCAGAGATGCCTGGGACTTTCAGTCCTAAAGTTTGTTTGTTTGTTTGTTTGTTTGTTTGTTTGTTTGTTTGTTTGTTTTTGAGATGGAGTCTCGCTCTGTCGCCAGGCTGAAATGCAGTGGTGAGATCTTGGCTCACCACAACCTCCGCCTCCCGGGTTCAAGTGATTCTCCTGCCTCAGCCTCCTGAGTAGCTGGGATTACAGGCGCCCCCCACCACACCTGGCTAATTTTTGTACTTTTAGTAGAGACAAGGTTTCACTATGTTGGTCAGGCTGGTCTCGAACTCCTGACCTCATGATCTGTGTGCCTCGGCCTCTCAAAGTGCTGGGATTACAGGTGTGAGCCACCACACCTGGCCTGAAGTTTATTTTTACTTACCGGGAGGGAGCTTCATAGGTCAGCTCATGTCACAGGCTTCCCGTCTCGGCTGGCACAGCCCTTTACCCCTGAGAGTTGGCAGCTTCTTGTTCTCGCCTCCTCTTTCTGATCTTGTGGAACTTTCTCTTAGAGATCACTTTGCAGCCACTTCAGCTGGGTTTCGGGAGGTAGCGAAGCTGAAGCATGTGTTCAGTTACATGTAGCGGGAGATGGGCAGGTTTTTCTAAGGCATACACAGAAACACCCTATACTAAAAGGCTGGTGCATTTGACCACAGGCTGAAGAAGGAGGAGGAGGTGGGGGATCTTTCATATGTCAGAAATCACCACAAATAATTAGATGTTAATAGAAAAACAGGTTTTTCCCCTAAAGAAAAATCAAGGTAGCTAATTCACTTTTTCCCTCAGTATCATAAAATGTGACTTTTAAAGTGATATGAAAACTTTCTTTTCATGTTTAATGTTTTTAAACATAAGATATTTAGTGTAGTGGAAGGAAAGCAAGAAGATTGATCATCTTGATTTTCTCTTCCAGATATAAACAGAAGAGCAAGTCCAAGCTGATTTGCAGGCTCTCCACGACGGGTGCAGTAGACGTGACCAGTCTATCGGCAGTCAACGACTTTTATTCCCGTATCCTTTCTCCCAGATCCCGGTAGGGTTTTACGCCCTGAGTGTCATTCCTCTGGCAGAGGGGTGTGCTGAGCATCTCATGAGTGTCAGGCATTGTGTGAGGCTCCGGGAATACACGGACCCTTCTCATGGAGCTCGCTGTCCTTGTGTTAATTGTACGTGTTAATAATGCATCTCAATATTCAGAAAGGGCCTCAAGGGAAGAAGAAACCTGAGTGCCGCATAGCTCATGCCGTCCAGCAGGTGGGCTGACCTGGTACTTCTGCTCTGGACTTTGTTGACTAATGTCTAGTAATTTAGTTATTCTATCTCATCTGCAGAGCTGGCAAAAATCATAGCAGTTGCTGTTCAAAATAATATGAAATGGAATCCAGAACTTTAATTTTTGAGATTTTTATGGCTAACACCATTGCTTTTAATTTTCAAAGTTGATTTTAATTTATTTAGGGGAAAAGCTCCAGATCTTTAGGAATTCATTGTATAAAGTTTTAATTTACTCAAAGTTCAGTCTAAGTTGAACTCTATTGGAGGGTTTTATAGTTGAACTAAAAGTGGTAGGAGGTTGTAGTATGTTTTAGTTAGAAATGTGGTAATTTCATGCTAGAATTGGTGCTAAAATACCTAGCAGAAATAAGAAAGATGTCATTAGGATTACTTTAGCTTAAATGATGGTTTCTGGAATACAAGGATACTAGAGTCAAGAGTAATCCAGCGCTAACACCAGCATTACGGGTCTCTTGACTCCAGTGCACCTGTGTTCCCACCACATATGCTCATTACTGCAGCATTCAGGGCTGAGCATTGAGGCTTGGGGGGTGCTGGTGGTCACACGAGCCCTAAATGTATACATTGCTCCTCATAGGTCAAGTTTATGAAGCATGTCACGGTCACCTGCCAACATGGCACTGTCTGGGCTGTGTCTCCCCTCGTGAGACCTGCCCCAGGTGCTGTCACCCACTCTGTGGGTCTGTCTAATCTTAGTTCAGTCCTTTCTTCTGAGTGCAGTGTCTACATATTCAATTATTTGACATCTGATTTGGGTGTTTCATGGGCATCTCAAATACCACGTATCTAAAGCTGGAACTCCCACTTCAAAACAGGCACTGTGGTGGTCTCCCTTTCCCTAAGCAGCCCCCCACCCCCGCCCACCTGCTCTTGCCAATGCCTGGGGCCAGATGGGGTGGGGCTGGAGTGGGCTCAGGACGTTTCAGGCGGAACTTCAGAAATTCTTAACTAGTCATCCATTCTTGAGTCTTCTAATATTCCGAAGTTTTTATTAGTAAAAGAGATGGACTGTCCCTTCCCCATGGGTATGAGTGTGGAGAGGAGCTCCCTAACTGGATTATCGCAGACATCGTTCTCGCAGCTGGCCGGAACAGGACCGTGGAAGTATTCGACCTCAACGCCGGCTGCAGTGCAGCGGTGATAGCAGAAGCCCACTCACGGCCTGTCCATCAAATCTGCCAAAATAAAGTGAGTCAGTTTTTGGATAATATACATCATCTGTACAACTGTGTGTTTAAAGCATTTCACAGATATAAATGTATGATGCCATTTTAGCAGTGTTTGCTACCAAATTCAATGTTAATGTTTATTGATCATTAGATTATTCGAAGCCTTGATGTTTGGCCCTAGGACATACTTTAGTATCATGTTGAATGTTAAGTTTTGTACTTTTGTGTTTGACTATTTTATGGGCTCATACTAAGATTTTACTAGGAAAACATTCTCACATAAAACTTGATAGGGTTGCATATTTTCAGCAATAGTGGATTGCATAGTAGACACATTGGTTCTATGGCCTGTGGGGCAGCCTTGCTAAATCAATAGCTTTTTTTGAAGGTGGAGGCTGTTGGATACAGCCAGTCCATTTTGACAGAGACAAAGTTTACAAATATCCACAGCGATGGGTTCAAGGGTTGGCATTACAGGACAGCCATTTGATGAGTTCATTGTCTGATAGCTGCATGGTTCAAAAGACACTTGGTTACTCAAGAGGGGGTCTAAGTCTTGGGAACAAAACTGCATTTCTTAGGACTAAAACTGTAATTTTGGTTGTTGATATGCCCAGAAAGGTTTTCCAAGTCAGGGATTTAACTTACAATGCATCTGGCATTTATATTATGATTGAGGGTATCATTTTGCTAAGTGAAGTATTGCAATGTTGGTTAAACAGACTTTGTTGTCCACAGGTTAACATATTTTGCATCTTTTTTTTGTTTGTTTGTTTGTTTGTTTGTTTTTTGAGACGGAGTCTTGCTCTGTCACCCAGGCTGGAGTGTAGTGGCCGGATCTCAGCTCACTGCAAGCTCCGCCTCCCGGGTTCCCGCCATTCTCCTGCCTCAGCCTCCCGAGTAGCTGGGACTACAGGCGCCCGCCACCTCGCCCGGCTAGTTTTTTGTATTTTACGGGGTTTCACCGTGTTAGCCAGGATAGTCTCGATCTCCTGACCTCGTGATCCGCCCGTCTCGGCCTCCCAAAGTGCTGGGATTACAGGCTTGAGCCACCGCGCCCGGCCTTTTTTTTTTTTTTTGAGACAAAGTCTCTGTCACCCAGGCAGAAGTGCAGTGGCACTATCTTGGCTCACCGCAACCTCTGCTTCCTGGGTTCAAGCGATTCTCCTGCCTCAGCCTCCTGAGTAGCTGGGATTACAGGCATGAACCACCATGCCCGGCTAATTTTTTTTTTGTATTTTTAGTAGAGACGGGATTTCATCATGTTGGCCAGGCTGGTCTCGAACTCCTGACCTCGTGATCAGCCTGCCCCAGCCTCCCAAAGTGCAGGGATTACAGGCGTGAACCACCATGCCTGGCCCACATTTTGAGTCTTTAAATTTCTGTTTAACAGGACAGGTATGGTCTGATTATCTATAAAGTTTGGTAATCAGTTCAAATTAGAAAGAGCAAAGATTCTAGGCTGTTAAGTTAAATTACATTGAAGCAGATTTGTTCCTGCATCTCTTCTGGATAAAGGGGAGATGGAGGTGTCAGGGCCACAGGAAGACTTTGTTAATGGGTGCGGCATGAGAGACCCCGGGATTCAGAGGCTCCGTGTCCAGGAAGATGGTCTCCCTACCTGTCGGTCTGGATGGCTCTTCAGAGAGGCAGATCCAGGGACTTGGCAGTGTGGGGTAGTCAGAGCTTTGGAGGTCAGGAAGACGCCTGGAGAGGCTGCCTGCGGAGGCGAAGCCGACCTCCGTGCCCTCCCTGTGGGGCAGCCTTGGTTGGAGAAGGGAGGGTTTAAAGGCTCCGATAGGCATCTTTATCTTGCCTTCATTTTAATCTTCCACCCCTCCACCACCCAGTTCATCAACAGGACATTTCAAATTTCAATAGGAGAAGGCTTTTCTGGTTTGAATAACACCATGGAAATACCAGCTTGCGGAGAGTTGTTGGAGAAAATATTATTCTTCTGCATTTTCTCTTTTTGTTTAGACGCTTCCTGCATATAAACCAGAGCAAACATGTTTTTAAACACTGTGCAGTGGGTCTGTCAGATGAATGAAGGAATCCCTTTGAAGAATTCTGTAACTTCTTTATGAGGCTATTAAAATGGCACACTCCACAAACCAAGTGCGAATTAGTTGAATCAGTGCTGTGTGTAATACTCCAGGTTTCTATGTTTTCTGGGAAAGCTGTGAAGGAAAAAGAAGTCAGTTTGGTAATTTACAATGAGAATAGGCAGCACTGTTGGTATTTGAGAGCCGTGATCTGATGCTACTAATTTCACAGTAAGATCTGTCAAGATTAGGCAAAGATTTGATTATTAGATTTTATATATTTCTGGGCTTTTAAATGAATTTAATAATTGAGTTATTAACTTTTAAAATGATTGTTAGCCTAATACCCATCTTATTTATTTTTTCTTCTTTCTTCTTCTTCTTTTTTTTTTTTTTTTTTTTGAGATGGAGTCTTGCTCTGTCACCCTGGCTGGAGTGCAGTGCCTGATTTTAGCTCACTGCAAGCTCCGCCTCCCGGGTTCCAACGATTCTCCTGCCTCAGGCTCCCCAGTAGCTAGGTTTACAGGCGCGTGCCGCCACGCCTGGCTAATTTTTGTACTTTTAGTAGAGATGGAGTTTCACCATGTTGGCCTTGATCCGCCCTTGAACTCCTGACCTCGTGATCCGCCCGCCTCGGCCTCCCAGAGTGCTGGGATTACAGGCGTGAGCCACTGTGCCCAGCCAACCCGTCTCATTTTTTAGGTATTATGATTCCTTTTAAATTCAAGTGCAGCTTCATGTGATATCAATAGCTAATATTTGGATGTAGAATGTTAAAGTATAAGTCTGACCTACTAAATTTATTTAGTGAAACTTCCACGCAAAGACATTTGACTTTAAGATACCCGAGTGCAGACGAGGGTTTGCACCGTCTTTGTGTCTGATCTTGGTAGTACCTAGAACCTGGAATCTGCTCACTTGACATGCGCCGAATTGAACTGTGACTTGCTGTTACCAACAGAAAGCAAAGGATTCGATTCTTTGTACAAGAAAGTAGATGTAAATCTAGAGAAGAAATGGTTTCATAAAAAGACTCGTCAGCATGTAGATTGCAGAGGTTAAAGTTTGACAAATAGTATTTAAAATTTGTTGATGCATTATTCTCAAAATGCAGTGTATAAAAATGTATCTAAAGATACAGATTGCTGACAAGAAAAGTCTCTCCGGAGATGTTATGTACTTGTCTGTCTGGTCAGTTTTTCTAAAGTCTGTGAGTCTTTACAGTTAAGTGAGAATTGGCTAAATTTCCCAAATGTCGTCATTCTTGAGTTTAAAAATTTCAGTTGTGAAGATAAATGAATCTTATACGTGAAATTTCTTTCATGTTGTAAATTTTACATTTTTTTTTTTTTTGAGGTGCGGTCTCGCTCTCGTCGCCCAGGCTGGAGTGCACTTGCGTGATCTTGGCTCACTGCAACCTTCGCCTCCTGGGTTCAAGCGATTCTCCTTCCTCAGCCTCCCAAGTAGCTGGGATTACAGGCACGTGCCCCCATGCCTGGCTAAATTTTGTAGTTTTAGTAGAGAGGGGATTTCACCATGTTGGCCAGGCTGGTCTCAAACTCCTCACCTCAGGTGATCTGCCTGCCTTGGCCTCCCAAAGTGCTGGGATTACAAGCATGAGCCACTGCTCCTAGCCAATTTTACATTTAAAACGTATTTCTTACCATGCTTTTTGACACTTGCTGCTTCTTGTCTCAAACATTGTCAATTATTAGAAAAAGTATTTCCTAGTTCATTTAATTTTTGTATTGGTTGTGCATGACTCTTATTAAAGGTGGTCATTGCAAAGCCAATTATAATTTATTTTTGGTGTTTGGAAAATGGTCTGTCAGCATTTCCATTGTAAATCTCTATTTTCTTTCTCTTTTTGTTCTTTTCTTTATGGGGTTTATGACAGAGCCATGAAACTTGGTCTAGATTAAAAGTTGGCCTATTAGAGCTCAGTCTGAGATTTTTTTCAATTTAGTTCCCAAATTTGTTTTAAATTGTTTCAGATGTTTAGGTTGCAAATGCAAAATATAATTTCAAAGTTCTCAATGCTTTCTAGTTTATAACAAAAAATAACATACGAGGTTTAAGATAATGGTAAAGATAATTCTTTTAACTTTAACCAATTTTCTAATATTTTCAAGAGAATTATTTTGGAAAATGATATGATGCTATTTGGTGTGATCTTGCAATTTTGTTTCCTTTCCTGTCTGTTCCCATTTCATAATAGAAGAGTTTCTAACCTTTTGCATATATAAAGCTTTTCTCTGTTAAAGGGTTAAATGTATGTAAATCTCTTAGCATGTGCTAAGTGCACCTGCCTGGTCACTGTGGAGGCTCTCCGTGCACACCGCCAAGGGAGGAGGACGGAGGCGCTGGGCCTGGCTCGCCTCGGGAGCCTCTGGACAGCAGGCATAGTGAATTCCACAGTCTGATACCTGTTTTTCCTCTCTTCCTCTAGTGCTAATTTCATTTTGGCTTCTTTTGGGTATTATCTTTTATTTCAATAATTGAGGAGACTTGAGGAGCCAGATGAGACTGTGTTTATATTTAACTTTTTTCTGACTTTTAAAATATGTTATATTGGAAGCAGCATATTAGATTTTTTAGAATACTTCAAGCCCTAAAATAGTATTGACTTGGAGAATGAAGATACAGGAAGTGAATTGGTAGCATAATTAAGATTTGTTTTTAGAAAGGTCTTTATATTTTGTTGGCTTGATTGTAATACATTTATTTTCAAGACTTAAAGCGTCAAATTTCATTATTGTCCCATTTAATTTACTGTAATGAACATTGTTGGTTCTAAATATATGTTAGAAATCAGCAATGATGATGGTGAGGAGTTAACGAGGAAATTGTGGAGGACTGTTACGAATTACAGCGACGTTGGAGGACCGGTCATGAATGACAGCAGCTGTGGCCTTTCAAATCAGAACTCTGCTCTTATGAGGAAATGAGAAATGTGCCGTCAGGAGAAGGGCAG